TGTTTGAATAAAGCTCGTGGGAAAAGGATTTCCTCTCAGAAGTCAGAGCGGGCATTCTGCAAGTAAGTAGGGTACGCAAGCTTTATGTGCGTGACCTTTGGATAAATTGACCGTAATTAGCTGCTCTTGTTTTGTTCTGCCAACCCTAGATAATGACTTTTGTGAAATTGTACTTTATATCGTATGGTATTCGGCTCTTTTTTTATTTAACGTCCCACTGCTGGGCTCGGGCCTGCCTTCAATACAAGGAGAATCAGGCCTTTTTTTTTTTATGTCGGGAAATGCATTTACGCATACCACCTGATCCCCCAGGTGGTGATGTGGAGCTCACCGGCTAGAAGAGCCGGTACTAGCCACTAAAACCCGACATTCCCCTCCCCTCCGCCTTAATGGGACGCCGCAGGATCGCTTGCGCATAACTACTACGGCGCCCCGGCGAGGAGAATCAGGCCTTAGTCCAATACTTTATATACTGTAATATAAATATATAAAACGTCAATGCTGTTTTGTTTATTGAACCTTTGTCGAAATTTACAGATATTGGTAATAGAATGCAATTTCCATTAAAAAAACAATAAATCATAAAAAAAAATGTTTTCAAAAATAGATTTGTTTTGACATGGACCTACTTATTTCCAACGTCCTATATTTCACAGGCAGCATGGCTTCCACACTACAAATAGCGGATTAGGGCAGTTTAGCAAACAAGGCGTCACTGGCGTGTGCCGCCCTTACAGCTAATGCCATATTAATGTCTATTAGAAGCCAAGCATTGTTCTGGCCTAGAGTCGACGATTTATTCAGATTTATTGCACTAATGCGACGTGCTAAGTCACCGGCTTTCGCACGATTGACGGCAATACACACTCAAGTAGGACTATAGCTATAAGTAAACAGATTATAATATTTTGATCGATTTAATTCAAAACTATACCTTTTTGACAATAGTCTGGTTTATATTGAATGGCAACTTGTATGGCAGCCGTGTTGGTGGCTAAGAAAACTTAATTCTTTAATTAAACTTATAGTATTGCGTATAACATTCAGTGAAAACCAGATTGCGGTGTATAACACACAATACTATGTACCAGCCCGCGATGGTTTATAAATATCAGAATGACTATCATATTTAACAAAATCTATATAATGGATATTCAAAGTCAGTAACCATCACTGCCGGAGCTAGAAATAGCCCTATCGGATTATCACTGTAAGACGCAGTATAATGTCTTGATACCTTCCGAAAGTCGAAGTCATTATGATAGTTTCTTAGATTTACTTACTCGAATATTTGACATCATATTTTTTAGACGTTTAAAAATCGTAGTTGTCTCAAAGGTCATTATAGTTGTAGTTGAGAAGTCTAAAACCTTAGTTTCTCCCGTGACCATTATTGGTGTAAATCATTCCAAACGTGGGAAACCAAAAATTTAAATAAATCCGCGAAAAAATTCGAAAAGATAGTTTTATTTAAAATTTCGAAGTCGTAACTCTCTCTATATATACGAGTAGTCATAGTATAGACTCTAGTTCAATTGAGAAATCTCAATAATATGTTCATTAGCTATAGCGATCTTTTACACCTATATACCTAAGTTATTTCTTGTGAAGTTATATAATATATATGTATGTATTTTTTTCATATTCAAACATTTTCATATTCAAATTGTCTGCTATATCTATTCGCCTAATAAATACAAAAAAAAAAACCTAGAAAAATACGTTATAAGTTTCTGCACGAAACAAATGCTTAAATATATACTTGACCGCGTAAAACATAATAATTTTACTATTTTTTATATATTAGCGCTCAAGGTGTTACTTTGATGTATTAAGTATAAGTTAAATAACTGTAACGTTTTATCAAAATCCGTTCAGTAGTTTTTGCTTGAAAGAGTAACAAACATACATCCATACACCCTCACAGACTTTTGCATTTTTAATATTAATAAGACTATACCTAGTACTCAGATGTGTGTAGCGCTTAACAGAGAATACGTTGGATCTCGCCACCCAACAAGCACTTCCTAACACTGATGAAAAACGATACAAGTTAATTATAGCATACACTTTTTACTTTCTAAAGCCAGTGCTATTAACCAGAGTTAAATAGGGGATGTTTAATCATAATTGTACCGATATCTCTCACCAATACACATCATCTCTTATCAGTAGATAATTTATGCCATTGCGGTATGTTTTTTTTTTTAATATAGCATAGGAATCTTTTTTTTTTATTCTAAAATACTCCACGGATTTTCTTCTCAAATGCAATTTAATTTCAAGAAAAATTATTTTAATATATGAACAGAGAATCACATTATATTTTTAAATTATCTATTTAATAATTCATAAACTACATAATACATATATTTTAAACTTTAAACATTCTTGTTAGATAAATCTTGCTTAAATCTAAATTTCAAATTTACTACTTTAGAGGATTCCATAACAATCCTATTACCGACGTTTCACTTTACACTTCCTGCCTATTCGTGTGCAATCTGTAGTGCAAATCCGTTAATCTTATTTGGCGGGTAGACATCGCACGTGGCGCCACGTGGCGGAAAATCGAACTAATCTCGTAGCCGTGCGCGCCAACAGACGCGTGCGCCGCCCCGATAACGCCAAGATGCCATTCATTCCCATTCTTTTGTCACGAACAATCATATTTATTTATGATATTTGCTACAAGTAACCTGCTACCCTATGCTCTGACGCCCCCAGCTTAGGTAACGCTATTGTTAAACGTTATTGATATCAAAACGTTGAATTAAATCTGTATTACCCATAATCACACAGACAGTATAGAAAGTGGAAATCTTAGTTTTTATTTTCGTAGTTAGATGTTATAAAAACATGAATTGGAAATTTGGAGAGTAGAATTTACGGGTCAAATATAATTTCATAAAAAATATTTATTAATTTTTTACAAGACCGACGAGTGACGAATAGTATTTCCATTTGAGATTTGCAGCACGTAAATACTACGTTTCATATCTTATAATCTTCTATATAACTCATTACTCTGTTCAAGAGTTTCTTGTACATGAAAATGAGTGAAATTAAGATAAATTTCCTCGCTATAAGGAAATTTTGATACCGCTTTTTAGTATTCCGTAACTAAATGGCTAAAACGGAACCCTTATAATTTCGCCATGTTCCGATGTTCGTCCGTCCGTATGTTACAGTCATTTTACTCGAAGATGAGATCTACATTGCTGAAGTTAAGTACTATAGTCAAATAACAAATAATAATAAAAACCGGCCGAGTGCGAGTCAGGATCGCGCACGAAGGGTTCCTTACTATTATCTATAAAAACGGCAAAAAATCATGTCTGTTGTATGGGAGCCCGCTCAAAAAATTATTTTATTATGTTTTTTAGCATTTGTTGTTATAGCGGCAACAGATATATATCATTTGTAAAAATTTCAACTGTCTAACTATCACGGTTTATGAGACGAACAGACAGACAGACGGACGGACAATGGAGTCTTTGTAATAGGGTCCCGTATTACTCTTTGGGTACGGAATCCTAAAAATAGAGGTGATACTCCATACATGTAACTGCTGCTGTGCCAGCGTGGGTTCGTGTCTCGCTGGGGGCATTCATTTATGTGATGAGCAAGAATTTTTTTACTCCAGTCATGGGTGTTCATATTTATAATATTATGTATGTATGTATTTAAAAGTAATAATATACATCATATCTGAAATGTATCAACTATCTGGTATCCACAACACAAGCCTCGTAGCTTACCATGGAACTAGATGGTGCTGTGTGTTAATATTCCAATATATTTATTTATTTAATACTGTTTTATTGTACCTACATAGTTTTGATCATGACTTACATTTTGTATTTTTTTATTAAATATTTAATGTAACAATAAATTAATATAGTAAACCTAACCTGAACATTATGTACCAGAGGTACAAAACCTTTTAAAATTTTAAACCACAAAATATTGTTCTCAAAAGTAGTAAGTATTATTATTAGGATGTAAGCGACTACACCTATTAAGTATTATTAAGCTAAGATGAAAAACCTCTCAAATTAATTTCCTCTTTATTGTAACCGTGGATAAGTGCTTTTTTTATTTACTAAAAAAAAGTACTTAGCCTATTATTTTATTTTTCATAGCATTTTGCACGCGGCTTCATATATTAGTTATTAGTAGGGACATTGAAAAAATATATTATACAAAAATATTATTTTTTTATTTTATTTTAAATAGAATCATCATCCTTTGTCATTAAATAGAATTAAAAACATGTTTGTTTCAGTGTAAAATGTTTTAATCTTTATATATAAAAACTACAACAAATTAAACTAAGGTTGTAACTCCTCCCATCGTCGTGGGTGACGTGAAAGCCAGATGAGGACGCAGTGTTAAATATATTTATAGATAGTATATATCATTAAATAGAATTCTATTAATTATTAAAATATGTTTGATTCAGTGTAGAATGTTTGATCTACTTACAAAAAATTAAATTAATACGTTTAATACATTTTTTTTAATTATTAACTGCATTATTATCAGACTCTCTCTTTATAAAACAATATACGTCAAAAATAATTTTTCTCTTTTTTCTATATATAAAACCATTTCGTAATTATTCGTAATTATAGTCATTTGGTATTTCGAACTGACGAACCAATAGTGCGCCGGCAAGTATGCGGCGCGTGCCCCGCTGCCCCGAGCCGCCCCGCGCCCACTTACCACCAATTTAACCGATAATAGTTCTTTTTAGATGACGCGATTTATACTTAGAAAGTAGAAAATATATCAAGTTATGGCAATATTTTTAAATGCGTCATTGTCATAAAAATTTTTGTTTGAAATATTTTTAGTCTGTGGTATGAAACTTTCAAACGTCATTTACGTATTACGCATTGTTTAATGTTTATTCTCTTTTAAAATATCACTCTTAGCTTGAAAGAATATTAATACGAAATAAGTTTCAGTAGTATTTTTCACAAATCTAAATCACAATGACAGAAGAAGACGAATATTCTTGTGTCAACAAAACTCAACTCAAGATTAAGGACAATTCTGGAATAAAAAAGAAAAAGAAGAAAAAGGCTAACAAGGAGACTGAAAAAATAATTGAAAATGAAGTTAAACAACAATTAAAGCAACAATCCAATCCAAACTCCAAGACTAAAGCTGAATTAGCATTCCAGAAAATGCAAGAAAAAATGGTTAGTTAATCATAGTGTTCTGAGTATTCATTTATAAGTCAAATAACGATCTATACATTACAGTCGAATCTGTACATTAAATATTTTCTGGAAAATCTTATTGAAATAGACAATAGTCATTATCAGCAATACAGAAGCCAAATCTAGCTTAAAAATTTTCTGGGAGAGCATTAGAAGAAAACCACTAGACAGCTTTTGATAAAATTTGGTATACTGTTACCTAGTTATCCGGGTCAACATATTATAAGGTACTTTTTAATGCAGGAAAATATCTCATCTCTGAGAAATCTATAGGTACTAACCATTATAACATACCTAGGGACAAACCCGAAAAAAACATGGGAGAGTCATTAGTATATTGATATAATCTGTTTTCTCATACAATTGTCTGTCTTATATTATTATATAGAAATACTTTTCTTTTATTTTGTATCTCAAGTTGTTTAATTAATAACTTTGCTGTTGTCTTTTATTTTAACACTAGCGACTCACCCTCTTTTCGCTCGTGATTGTCCCTAGCTTGCTTACCAATACAAAATTTCATCCCCATTTTCACTCCCTTAAGGGATGATTTCCGGGATAAAAAGTATCCTATGTCTTTCCCAGGGTCTCAAACTATCTTACTAAATTTCATCTAAATCGGTTCAGTAGAGATTACTCCTACAACCTCACAAACTCATAAACTTTACCTCTTCATAATATTAGTATAGATGAATTATATTTGTTTTTTACAGCAAAAGCAAAGGATTCTACAAAAAGCTGAAATGACTCATAAACAGAGAGTAGAGAAGTTCAATCAACATCTAGACAGCTTGACTGAACACTTTGATATTCCCAAAGTATCTTGGACTAAATAAAATTAAAATATTTTTAATTACCTTTTTTGGCTACATATAAAAACAAGTCATTGTTTGTTCAAGTATTTATTAATCATTTCAATTTGTAAAAAAAACATAAGTATCATCAGTGGACGGACTACAGTATATTATGGATGGAATGTAAATAATTATTATAAAACAAGAACATACATTTTAGTAACTCTTATGTTTTACATCATATTGTATAAAAATATTATAATAAAGTTAAGGCACAAGAACAGCTAGTCTAATTATTTGAGATTCATATTTTAAACAACTATTCATGAAAACTCCACTTAAAATAATTTGACAAATGTGCATAGCATAATCTAAGATTACCATAAAAGTATAATACTATTTTACAGCTAACATACAATAAGTACTTTGTCTAGAAGTTATGTCAAAATTTCTTGCAGCTTGGTAATATACACTAGTTAAAATTACATTTACATCCTATCAAATTAGAAAATAATGTTGAAACCATGTATAATAATACCAAACATAATCCATATATAATATTTAAATAATAGTGAAACCCTTGTTTCACTATAAATATAAAAATTAGAAAAAAAGATATTTCATATTACATGTAATATATATATTATTTAACTACTTTCATTAAGTATTACCCCATTTGAACTGTTGAACACAAAAAAAAAAACATTTCTTTGTATAGATGTCATAACAGAGAGACAAAAATTATTGCTTTAAAATTCACTATATAATAACTGATATTCTTTAAATATTTAGGAGAAAATAATATATAAATTATTATGTAGAAGTATGTAAAAAATAACTATTTTTTATTAATATAGGACTTTCCAAGCTTCCAAAAAATTAACTTTCAATATTTCCAACAAAGTTAATTTAAAATATAAATACATCAAATGACTCACGAAATATAAAAGAACCATAATAATTTTCACATAGTTGTATTTTCACATATTTAATGGAGCAACTAGAAATAATTTCTTCATTTTCTATCAATCATTATTATTATGACGCTACAATGAAAAAAATTTTTTTATTCAAAGTAATTACAGTTGTGTGATGACAAGTCTTTTATAAAAGCATAAGAAAACGAAAAATTGTGTGTCAGACAGTGTTAATTCGAGCTATTTTTGTTTGCTGGAATACTTAATAGATGTCGTTGATTCTCAAATATTTACACTGTTTTATTCTATAAATATGTGCAAAACTAATATGTAAAATATTGTAAAACTAGCTTGAAAAACGAAACCAAATCTATCCCACGGGAACCACATATTTTTCCGGGATAAAAAGTAAACAACAGGTTATTCTGATGTATAACCTATATTATTACAGTTTTAATTAAATCCATTCAGTAGTTTTTGAGTGAATGAGTAACATCCATACATCAATATTAGTATAAATTCATCCTGCATTCGAATAAAAAAAATTTGCTTTTGTTAATTTCACACAACTAATAACAGATCGATATATGTAACGCCATCTATTGACATATATTTGAACTATTTTTTCTTTGTTCATGATGAGACCCCATGATGCAACTATACATTTTGTTTGAGTTACATAACTTACTGGTAGAAACCATGCCCTTTCTATGAATTCATTTAGATTGTATAGCATCATATGAAATGTGAGATTCAAAGGCAAGTCATAAATATACATATAAAAATACTTATTTGTATTATATCAATAACTGGATTAGACTTAACACTAGAACTGGTGTGCATATTTCTAAAGTGTAGGCACTATTACTTCTCCAAAATGAGTAACTAAATGAGAACACCTTAATATAGTTTTCTTTAGTCGACCAGGGATCGCTGCCATCATCAAAATGCATGGGACATTGATCCCTCTCTCGTTCGTATTCCTCCATTTCCACGGCGACTGCGGCGCCTTCAGTATAGTTCCATGAAGTAACATCTTGTTTTAAATCGCAATATGGTCCTAATGCTTGCGACATAAGAACTCTGTAAAAAAAATATAGGTTCGATGAACTGCTTCTCAAAATTAACTTAATAAAATATTTAGACAACTTATGACAGCAAGTCTAGATACATATTGTGCGGAGCAAACTGCCACATGAAGTCCCACAGTGTAACAAACAAAGCTGTGACACTGTACTGTATGTATTATAAACTATTATACTGTAATATAATCTTTACATAAATATCTTACAATTTTATCTCTATAATAACACATATACAAGCTAAGCAATATTTTCATAAAAACATTTATTCAAAAAGCAAATGGCATTTCAGCAGTACATATTTAATGAATAAACTTTGTATACCTATTCAAATCAGCTCTTTGATACACCCAGCATCTGTACTTAGAGAAGGGATCCAACTCATCATATGTGATAAGATATGATTTGAGATTCTCTTTCCAGTACCCAATACATTTCATTTTATAATCTGGATCACTATAAATATCCACAGGCCTACCCAAGTGATCCACAGACAGACAGTAATTTTCTTTGATTTGTATAGTTTTTTGGTCTACATCACATACTGAGAAATCACTTATGTTCAATTTGCAATACAAATTTGGCCTTGGACTTAAAGTGACACCGCCCAATATTCTCGTTTCAAATTTCACATCTCCTTTTTGTGTAAAATTAAATTTCCCAGCGACAGGGCATCGAATGGGTGAAGGGTCTTTCTTAAGGAATATATCATAACGCCATTTTTGTTTATTTTTAAATTGTACCCATGAGCATACTGTGTGGAAATTACTTTGTATCATAGCAAGCCCTTTCCGGTATCTGAAATATAACAAGGTTAACAAATAAATATGTTTATTAAAAATAATATACATATGAAAACGGTTTGAAAACCAGTACAATTTAAACCGGTTTTAGTCATTGACCCCAAACTGAAAGGATTTAGGATTTAGTTTGTTCTCTAACCGGTTAAAACCCAGAAAACTATTTTTGACGAATTCAGATTCCATGATCGAAAAATAATTAGTTGAAATGAATTTTTGCGAATCTCTGGTGAATTGCTTAGTAGAGGATATGTACTTTTCTAGAATTAATCATCTTCTTCAGGATCTTGGTATCAAAACCTAGGCTTAATCTTTCTTTAAGAATAACTATAAACCATTATAATTTTAGTTTACCTAACCTTTCTTTTTTATTAACCAGCTATTGAACGAGTGCGGAATTAACCATTACATTACCTAAATTAATTTGTTTTTAAACAGCCCTGCAGTAAAATAACATCTTAGCTTGTATATAAAAAGAATGTAAAAAAACAGGTAGTCTGAATTACCTAAGCTTAGAAAAAGAAATGCGCAAGAACTATTAAATGTTTATCAATAGAAGAATTACTGACCTTATAACGTTGTGATGTTGTGGAACAAAATCGAAGCAGACATAATCTTTCTGACAACCGTCCACCGTAAGTCTAGCCATCATAACTCTACTATCACGCTGTTCTCTGCAAAAAAAAATCCTTATGAAAAATCTAAAAATAAATTGCAATGAACGACTTAGCTTATTTACCTAGCTTATGTAGCTGTAGATTCAACGAATTAAGTGTTTTATATATACATTTTACATATATCACATATAATTATATATCTTTTGTTTCAACTCCGCTTGCAGATAGTTGGATAAAAGTATGTTTTAATATAGAATGTAAACATCTCAATTCTGATTCTGATTCTGAATTCTGAACTACTTGCTGTGCCAGAGGTTGCGGGTTCGAGCCCCACTGGAGGCATGATTTGTGTGATGAGCACAAATGTGTGTGCTCTAGTCATGGGTGTTTATATTTATAGCATGTATATATTTAAAGTTATATATGTGTAGTGTATCAACTATCTGGTATCCATAACACAAGCCTTGTAGCTTACCATGGAACTAGATGGTGCTGTGTGTTAATGTCCCAATATACTTATTTATCTAATATAGATATATAATTTTTGTCATGAAGATAAGTATCATTTTTTATAGATAACTACTATGAGACTAAGAAAATAATAACAACAAAAACATTATAATAATCCTATTTTTATTTACTTTACCTGCAAACATAAATAGTTCGCCTAAATCGACCCTCATCTGGATAATATGTTTCTATTATATGTGTTTCATTAATAAATACATCTGCATCAATATTAGCAGTGTTAATCCAATCTCCAGAGAAATTTTGTGGTAAACGACAGCCTGGTTCAACAACTTCTGCCTAGAAATATTTATGCCACTTATATAGCAATTATATAGTAGTATATACAGATAAATAAAATTGAAGTATCTGTTTTATTATATCAAAATAACTACTTTTTACTTAATATATATGAAAGTATATACAATATTTATATTAAAAAAAAGTTTTTAAATTTCTGTCTGGCACAGTGTTTGTTGTAGTCAAAACAGCTGGATCGATTTTGACGGGATTTTAATTGGCAGATAGCTGATGTTATAAGAAGTAACTTAGGCTTCCTTTATTTTAGAAAAAAAAATTAGAAGCCATGAAATTTTGAACAAAATCTGCATACCTGGACGCACCAGAGCAAAGCACGAAAGCAGTAAAAAAATCAGAAAATGATATAACTTTAGATGTTATAAATAAAGTTTTAATAAGGTATACCATACCATACCATACCAAGGTATTATTTTAAAAATAATAATAAAATTTTATTAAGGTATTTAAAAATATTAAATGAAAGAAAATGCTTGGGATATAGTACTATGTGAGATAATACTGAGTGAAGTGGATTCAAATCCCAGGTCTAGCACCTCTGATATTTTCATAATGTGAATCATTTTCATTGTGATTACCACTTGTCTTATGGTGAAGGAAAACATTGTAAGGAAACCTGCATGTCTGAGAGAACTTAGCAAGTTGTCGAAAGACATGTGAAGTACAACCAGCACTTGTCCAGTGTAGTGGACAATGGACCTGATCACCCTTATAGTATAGGAAGGCAAATGCCCAGTGGTGGGATGTTAAAAATAGGGCTGAATATAATAATTTATTGAAATTTCAGTATGTATATAGCAGAAACAGATATAAATGATAATAATTACAGAAGTTAATAAACTGTGTCATAATAATGCTAATGTAAATTATTCTGTAGTTGGTAATTTTAGAATAGACAGAGAGAGATTAGAGATAGTCTTAAAACTATTGACAAAGTGAAAAATTTCCAATATAAATGGATATAAGACTTAATACATATTTTAAGAATAAAAGTAGTATAATTATGTAATTCTTTAAATAACACAACTTTTAAATACTTACTTTAACAGGAGTAATTCTATATCTCTCTGGTGATTTCTCAACAGTTTTCAAAGAAGAACACTCTGGGGTCATTGAAGCACCAATATAAAGATCATCATCTCTGTTCTTTAAAAAACAGCGGTATTTTTCATCTTTACGAGATTCTTTTGTGTTTGCCACAGCAAAAAAATGATTTTTGTCAACAAACCAATGACCTGAAACAAGAGCAGACTTTTACCAAAAAATCATAAAACTTACGCAGATTGTTTTTGGAAGTCAAGATAGCTTGATTAATGTAATAATATAAATATATCTTAAGTAATAAATATACTATAATAGTTATAATTTGTAAATAGAATTTGAAAAAGTTGATATTAGAAATCGAGATAACCAACTAAACATAATGTAAGTCATATTTGTTGCCGTGCTATGCAAACCAGTTGACTCTTAAATTTTGTAAAGTTATCAACTTCATTACATTCTACAAAAAAAAATTTGAAATGTGGAAGAACAACATTTAAATGAATCTCTTATGGTATATATTTCTATTTTTTTGATAAGGATAAATATTTTCACAATTAATACCTACCTAGACAACTATATTCTACAACACCATCAAATGTACCAGACATTCCAGAACATTTCCTATAGGTTATATTAAACTTCTGATTAGTTATCAAGAATTGTGTGCCTGCAGTTTGGCAGGATTTAATTTGGGCATCTGGATGATTACATTCACCTGTGAATCTAAAACGGTTCTGATATGCAAACTGCCACACACCTTCTAGTGATGATCTGCAATTGACCTATATAAAAGTAAATAAAGTGTTAACCAAACATATGTAAAAAAATCTAAATATTACAAAAAAAACAATTAAAACTTACTGGAACAGAATTCTCAGAAAACAATGTAATAAGGTGTTGGTCATTTTTAAGGCCTCTGCACACTGTTTCAACATTTGCTTCATCTCCAGCTTTAAGACTCAAACAAGTACTTTCAATTTTCTCTAATACATTTACTGTTCTAACAATTAATTTTACACAGTGGTGGCAATCCTTCGATCGGAATACCATTGTGTAATTGACATGGTAGTCTGCCTTTATGTCGACACATGTTCCTCTAAAATATAAAATATTAAACAATTTATCGAAATTCATTTTTTTCGAAATAATAATAACTTAATTCTAAATATCTAAAATCGGTTACCTATCAGTCATTTCACTGGCATTAATATCGGTAATAGTTTGCTTGCCATTTTCAAAAGAAAACCAAGTATTTCTTAAAACTACTGGGATTGTGCACTCCGCCGATACAGATGATACTGCTGCAAAACAAAATTGTTATATTGGGCGTATCCAGTTGTTTATTCAAAAGAATGCTTATATATCTTAAACTTACATAGGCTTAATAGTATTACACTAAAAGCAGATAAAATTGAAAATGCTTGGTTAGTCATTTTTATTTCATGTTATTTATACAAATATAGAATTCAAGTAACAAAAAAACCCTAAAAATTAAAACATTTGAACCATCACACCAAGTTAGAACCGCAACCGAGAGATATCTGAATTTGACATTTGACAATGACAAGTGGCAGACCGCAGACGTTAGTCAACAATTAACGGACATTTTCAAATTATGACACAGATAAATGAGTATGGAATATAAATTGTAAATATATAGTCAGCTTGGTTAACATTGAACATAGGGTTAATATATATAAATGTAGATTTCTCAGAGATGAGATATTTTATATTGACTGCATAACCAGCTATCATCATACCAAATTTCATCAAAATCTGTCCAGTAGTTTTCTCGTGATGCAGACAGACAGATAAACAGACAGACAAAAATTCTAAAAACTATAGATTCATCCTCTGTATCGATAATGATGACTATTTCAATAAGATATTCCAAAAAAATATTTAATGTTTCCAAAAACATATTCGACTCAGTTACGATTTTATTACATTATATTATGTATAGATCCTAAAGACCCAGCTGGTATTTCCTTATTATTATATTTTTATTCATTATTAAACTCAGTGTATTAACGGAACAGCCGTTAATTCTTGTTAGGTCATTTTCTTATTTTAAGCCCGCATATCTTATCTTAAGATATCTTAAGAGTTTTATGTAAATTTTAGATTTGGTGACAGATCTGACCCGAATATTATAGGTTTTGGACTTTATCTAAAAAATCCTTTATTTAAATTAAATTGAAACCTTGTTTATTATACATAGACACTTATCTACTTATATGAGAAGTTCAAACGTCGATAGATAAATCATCAAACGTTAACGAATGAAATTTAAACTTTTATTTGTCATCCATGCTTTAAACGATTAAAACAGCTCAGAAGGGTTTTCCAGGAAGACAAATATTTGGCAATTAACAATTATATTTCTCGCTTTTTCTGTATACTCATTTTACATTTATATTTTATATTCCTAACTCATATAATGCGAATCACCGACTGTCCACTTGACATATCAAACATCTATATTCAAAATCTACGAACTGGCACATAAAATAACTAAATGTTACAGTCGGCCATCCGTTACAATAACGAGTCCCTTCGTTTTAGGCCAAACTAAGTCAAAAAAGTTTCACAATTCATTACAATTCACTCATCTTACATTAAAAAAGTTTGTTGAATCCTGCTACTCTCTATTTCTATCTCTAATCTGTTTGTTCTTAACAATAATCAAATATGCTGTTAGATTTTTATCGGTAAATGTATCTTCAGTAGAGGCGTGCACCCAGTGGTACAATCCTCATCTTCACTCTGTGAATCTAGTCGCTAGGTTCGATTTACTATTTCTCTTAAGGCGAGAGAATCTTAGACTGCCCACCCCCTTCAGCTCGGCAGCTAATTTATTTATGTGTCGGTCCAATCTGGCTTGATAATTATTGCTGTTTAACTCGACATCTTCCTTCACTATTTGCAGATTGAAATCTAGGTAAACATATTTATGACTTATATTTGGTGGAACATTGATCATGGTTCTCATTGTTTTGCTCTGAAACCTTTCGAGTATTTCAATATTACTATGGCTGGCTTTACTCCAGAGCTGAATGCACAACTTCATATAGGCTTTCCGCTTTAGTATAGCTTTATAGGTATTAGATAGCCATTTTACTGTCATTTGCCAACGATGACTTACGACTGATGAGCCCATATATGCTGCGGAATTTGTGTCTAGCTGTTTCCTTTTAGTCCATATGTGTTTGCGCCAAGTGAGTCTACGGTCGAGATGTATACCTAAGTATTTGGCGTCATCAGATTGTGGGATCTCTCTTTCACAGAAGGGTAGGTTTTCCTTCTAAATGTGTAAGTTGCTTGAATCGGTTTATTTGTATTGGCTTTAATGCGCCACTGCTGGAACCATGCTTCGATGAGAGTCAGGTGTGATTGGAGTCTTACAGATCGGGTCTCAGGAATCGGGATTCTCATGGGTTGAAAGAAGTGAGGTATCATCTGCGTATATCGCTGTAATGGTATTGGCGTAGAGGGTAGATCTGATGTAAATATTAAATAAAGAATTGGTCCCAGTATGTTACCATGACCTAAGGTATTTCTCTTTTTCATTTTCTAGATTTTGATTGTTGCTGGGGAGTGGTTCGAAGACTGTATGTAGGTGATTAGCGTCGATCTTAATTTTTTTTTCACAGTCTGAGCGGACACAAGAACCCGTTTGTGTTCTCAATGACGTACTTTGTTGTTTTGGACGCTTTAGGATTCTGGTAGGCTTCCACAACGAATAGTTCGGGTCACTAGTATGTGTCAGTCTTGCGAGATATGATTGTAGGTTTTCATTTTCCACATCTTTAGTTAGCGTCTTTAGTTCTTGTGAGGCTTTATTGAAGGCTGTCTTATCTCTAAGATAGTGGGTGGTGTGCCATACTCCCCGGAGTCTACGTCTTTTGTTGATACAATTCTTAATGAACGCGGGGTATACATGTTCTTTTGTAGTTCCCGCTTTATGATGGGATGTAGATCTGTTCGGTACGTCATGAATCAATCGGTTTAATCCTTCTATGGCCTGATGAAAAAAAGGTCATTGTGAGTCACGGGTAGGCTTTAAATATACTAGAGGAATTACTCCTATTCTTTCACTACCATTTTGCTTTAAATCTCAGGGCATAATCGCTATAGCTATCCTGTCACTACAACTTGACAAGAGTATAGTTACTTCTATTCTTTCACTACCATCTTGCTCCAAGTCTTATGACCTGATATCGCTATAGTTATTATATCACTAACTTCAACTAGAGGATAGTTACTTCTATTCTTTCACTACCAACTAGTCGAGCAACCAGTCATACATAACACTCATGCTCGGGGCACATCCGCTCGAGCTCTTTGTTATGCAGACAGGTTCACTACCTATTTGTCTTATAGTTATTATATCACTAACTTCAACTAGAGGATAGTTACTTCTATTCTTTCACTACCAACTAGTTGAGCAACCAGTCATACATAACACTCATGCTCGGCACACATCCGCTCGAGCTCTTAGTTATGCAGACAGGTTCACTACCTATTTGTCTCTACAATATTAATAAAAATACTCCTCCTCTCCATCAAAAGTCATACTCATCAAATAAATAAATAAACAGAACTTCCCGTGTTTAAAGTTTGGCCAATGGTGATCACTACAGCTCTGCCTCCTACTTCGCAAATAGTGAACACTATCTTGTCGGCTCTCGTGTCCGATCGGGCTTCGGCTGCAATGCTCGCCCTCACAAGCTCTTAGCTTCTTCTATCTGGTTACGTAAAACATACAGGGGACGATTTCTTATCTCCGTCGCCTCATTTCGTCAAATTCACCTCCATCCATCTAGAACTTGTACACACAAATATCATTAGTTTATTATATTTGAAAACTTTGTTATATATCAATTGAAGTGCTTAACAAATAAAAAATAATAATTAGTAGTATTTCATAGATTTGTTCAAAAAATAAATCTATGTTCTTACACTTTTTTTTTACTTTTATTTTTCATAGGGGTTGATTGTAAAGACCATGCCACCCTTATAGGAAATACATTTTTTTTTTATCTATTCTACCTTTTTAATACTAATTGCACAATTTTATACGGCATCTTTGCTTGACCCAATTGGGGTGTTACAAACACCAACATCCATTTTATTTAGCTTACATGTTTCAAAGAAACATATTCTGCCTGCCTCATTCTGAACACATTTCATTAAATTATGATTAGTATCTTCCACAGTCCCACACTCAGCGCAATCTGTCGAATTTGACTTACCTATTAAAACCGCAAAATAGTTCAATGGAAGGTGACCCGAACGAAGCCTAAAACTAGTTTCAGTATCATATCTACTCATATCGGCCTAGCTGACTCATGAAAAGCGTCATATATATATAGATAGGTTGAATAGTTTTATACCCAATACTTTTATGTAACAGTTTTTCACTAAGATATTCTTTCCACGTTTTCTAATCATTGTATTTTTATTAAAAACAAAACATCTGACCAATATGGTAAGTATGTAGTATACACGGAATACGGTCTGTTATGGCTTCTCTTGCAAATTTATCTACTATTTCATTATTTTCTAGGCCGACATGTGACATGGGTACCCACTGTAGTACAATTTGTTTATTTTTACAATGGAGATTACTTAATAACTTAATAATTTCATAAGCTATAGACATTCCTCTATAGGCTAGAGTACACCGATTCAAATGTAAAGAGCACTTTAAAAATTAGCCAGTAATACTTCTCGTAATCCCGGAAATCAATATAGGACAGAGCTTCAGCAGTAGCAAAGAGTTCAATATGCATAATCAAAAATTTAGAATTTAGAGTTAACTTATAATTTTCTTGGATTGCGGGTCCCAAAAAGCTGTTGTAGCCCCACAATTATCCGTTGAACCATCATTATAGATTTTGTAAAAATCAAAATATTTTCCACTAATGAACTTTATGCAGACTTCATGCAATGTGTGGAGATTATAAAACTGTTTGTACCTATTCATAATATTGTATCTGTTCTTATACTTTTCGATAAATCTATTTTATTAACCCAGAGTTCAATGAAAACATTTCCATCCGTTCACTAGAAAAAATATTGGTTGATTTATAAGCTTCATGAATTTTAAGTAATAGAGGTTTTTATTTCATGTGTTCTCTATAAGTATCTGTAATATTTGTGTGAAAACTATCTAATACGTAAACTATATTATTGTTTTTAAAGGAACTGATTTTTACCAAAATTTGCCTGCAAGGTACCTAATTCTACGAATGTGGAGTGGAGGGTGATAAAGCTCACATTCCATCACGTGAGTGGCAGTGGTTTTGATGTATCCACCGATTATTCTCAAACATTGGTTCTAAACTATATCCAACTTTTTAAGATGAGTTTTGCAACTATTAAGTTAAAAGATTTTTTTTTTATTCTCAAAAAGGACAAAGTCACTTACATGAGAACAACGTAATTACATAAAGTAAAAATTATGCAAATAGTCGCCACATAAGTAGGTACTCAGTTAACGAGATATAGTATATTAAACAGATACAGATGTATGTATATTAAATGTTATTAAATTGGTTATTTTCCAAAATATATTGTGAGAGCTGAGATTTAAATCCGTTAATTGAGCTTACATTTTTTTAAAGTAGATAGTAATTTGTTATAGAGTTGTGATCCTTCAAATGTAATATCCTTCTTTGCATAATTTGTTGTAGTTTTTGGGAGAACTGGTATAGTCAATTTTACTACGAATTAATGAAATATATAGACGTCGCATGTGCACTGGATGAATACCCTAACTAGAACTGCCAAGATCTTTAAAACTTTTATACATCTAGATAAATTAACCTTTAATTCATCTATATGCTTTTTCTATTTTAGTGACTTATCCAGCCAAACACCTAAATATTTAATACTATCAACTTTTTCCAAAGCAATGTTATTAATTTTTAAATTAATTATTTATTTTCTATAGTCAGAAATGAAAACACAAATCTTCGTTTTCGATGGCGATACAGTCAACCTTATATCGGATAAATGACTATTCAATTCATCTAGCGATCTCTGCATACGTATGGTCCCTAAGCTAAAGTTATCACAAGTTATTTATATTACAAAATCATCAGCATATTGGGATATTAATACATTTTTTAATCTTTTTGCATAAATTCATAGTTGCTATATTGAACACTAAAGGTGATAAAGGATCGCCTTGGGCTAAGTTTTCCTAGAGACATAATACGAGTTATCAATTAAAATATTAAGATTTCTTTCCTTGAAAAAAATTATGTACGTAGGTGCAAATATTAGATCCGACTCCCATTTCCTCCACGTTATGTAAAAGACCTCTGAGATTGTTATTATATGCATTATCGATGTCTATAAAGCGTACTATAGTGTACGTCTTCCTTAAAAGAAAACTTTCTCTATTGTCAATACTAAATCACTGAGATTATCAAGTGTAGATCGGAATTTTCTAAACCCATTTATCCGGTTTAAAAAAAATTCAAACTTTTCTATAAACCATTGTATTCGCTTCAATAGAATGTTATGAAAAGCCTTACAAACGCACAACATCATTGAAATAGGTCTTAGGGATGAACTAGAACCAACCCGACCAGGTTTCGGAATAGGAACAACTTTAATGTCTCTCTACTGTTTTGGTATAAATTCAAGATTCAGAAATTTATCGTATAGTAAAAGTAACACGTTTGGCATTATTTGGAAGGAACCTAAGAATAGAATATAAAATATTGTCACATCCAGGAGTAGTATCTTTTGAGCTAAATGACTTTTCAACTTCTGTTATTATACAATATTCAATCTAAGTTAATATGTATTTTATCGCCTTAATTCTATCTCAACACATCATTTTCTACTTTCAAATAAAATTTTCCGTAGATATTTTTAATATACTTTGGATTAATCCATATACATCTAACTAATAATCACACTATTTTGTATTTTTTTTCATATTATTCAACTTAATACACAATTACCTCACAAATTGAAACATATTTTAGGATTTTGAATCCTTTCACTGAAAAAAAATCATATAAATTACAAAATAACGTAACCTTCAAATTGTCAGATGATCCGTGGGCGTTGCAAAAACAGTATATTTTTGCAGTGATCCCACTTCTGAGCTAAAACAGCTCAGAAGGGTTTTCCAGGAAGACAAATATTTGGCAATTAACAATTATATTTCTCGCTTTTTCTGTATACTCATTTTACATTTATATTTTATATTCCTAACTCATATAATGCGAATCACCGACTGTCCACTTGACATATCAAACATCTATATTCAAAATCTACGAACTGGCACATAAAATAACTAAATGTTACACGATAATATACCTTCAGTTCTAGTTGGCTAAATCATGAAATATAACTATTTCGTGAATTGGTCGAACATATTATCTTGAAATTATCTATTTTACGATGGCCACAATAAAATACCTATTCTAATTATAATATATTCGTGTGACCATACTACATGTTAGACCAATTTCATTTGTAATTTAATATTTTCACTTATATTTATATAACCATTTATTATTCAAATATCTGTCAAAACATTATTCATATTAGTTGTAATGACAAACTACTATTCTTCATTAAATTATAATAATAATTATAAAAAAACACTGTGCCAGTAATGTTTATTTGACGTTTTATTTAAAGTTAACCAATTTAAATGTACAGTAAATTATAAGAGTAAAATTATAAGAGTACTTAGTACTTAGTAATTATAAGAGTACTTAAGTTAACTATTTTAAGATTTTAATATATAATTAATGTATTTAAATAAGCGGTAGAAATCTATAAACTACAAAAATAAACTCATTATTTAATGCTATTGTGATATTTTTAAGTATGGTAATTTTGAGTCCATTGTATTGATCGGTTGAACCAATAGTTTTCACCCAAAATATTTTACTGCAGTCCCTTGTGTAGCTATTCGTTGCTTCAATGGGTGGTAAGAAACTTAGAGCAATTCATTGAATGTCGTTGACGTCACGTCAATCAACGTGAATCATTATTGTCAAAACATTGTATCGTATTAAAAAATAATAATTTTAATTATTATTTAAAATGTCTGCAATGGTAAGTATTTTAAAAATTACATTTTGTGACTTTACATTTTACAATCTTTTAAAACATTAATTAGGTTTTCATTTATAATTAAATATTCATTAAAAATCAAAATATAATTCCGAAAACACAGAATTGTTTTAATTTCTGAACATTGTTCATTTTTTCATATATATAATATAAACTATTTTATAAAAGCCCCATAATATTATTACATCATTCATGTATGATTTTGTAGAAGATCACTCGCATTCATATATTTAAAATAATTAAAATCGACGTAAATACAATATTTTAGCGGATGAAAGCAGCAAAATGTCCTTCGGACGAATTGGCCATCACCAATTGCGCCCTTATCAACCCGGATGATTTTCCCAGTGACACTAAGTAAGTATCCATTCATTTTAATTACATTTACATTATTCTAGTGTTTATTATCCCCATAATCATTCCATAATTTTGTTTAATAAAATTGGGATTTTTGTTTCATCAAATTAATGTTAAAATGCTGTGAATATATATTTTTTACATATTTTAATTTGATATATATATTTTTTATATTTAACCTTTTTTTAATTATCCTTCCTTTTTTTCTACATAAATTACATTAAGAACAAATACAACGAACCGAGTCCCAACTACTAGATTACTGGGCCACGCACAAACAGATAAAATGTATATACCAAATGAAGGAGAAGAGTTAGACCATCAACAAATTGCAAGTCTTATTAGCTAATCTTGTATGCATGAGCTTATATAACTTGTCAAATTAACAACATTTGGTCAACTTTTTGTTAAAGTTAAGCAATGTTTATATGTTCAAAATCCAGAAAATTAATACAAACTAATAAAATAAATTGGGTTGATTATAATTATTATAAATTGATGATAAATATTATAAATAGTCGATTATAAATATTATGGTAACATATTACTTAAATGAAACTGTAATGGAAAGGATGCAATGAAGGCATATTACTGAACTTGAAAAAATGGGGAATGTACTGTCAGACGTTATACCCATATAATTACTATTACATCGTATCTAGGCTATGCAAGGCATCTTAATGAGGTAACTAAATCACCACCCCAACAAAAAAAATAGCATATTTATAAGATTTAACGGGTCTGATGATGAATTAAACGCACACGTACATAAAATAGACCTAATTGTATATTTCTTACATAGAACCCATATAGACCAATCCACTGATATATATTTTATTGCTGTTCACTACATGGCCCAAAACGGTACAACATTCCTTATTAATTTGTTTATTGTAGGTAAAAAAATAACAGCTATGTAAAATAATCAAAATATATATTATCCTCATGATAGCAGGTGTATGTTTAAAAATAAAATGTTTCATTACTAAAATTCTAATATAATTTAATTTATTAAAACATTGTTTTAGGCATGTTGAAATTTCCACTGGACCATCGCAACACTTTGTGTTTAGTATCAGGTTCTATAGTGGTGTGGACAGGGGAACTGTTGGGTTCTCTGCACCTCAAAGAAAATGGGCTACATTATCTATTGGACAGGTATAGTTTTGTTTACATGTAAAGTAATTTTCTGATGTGTGTGTGAACACAAAAATTTTATTGAAGTGAAACTTCTTTAGAATCGTTGTGATTTAACACTCGGTGAAACAAAAATGCGACACGAGAAAGAGACAAACACATAAATATATAGGATTAAGCCAACGAGAGAATGAGATAGAATGCATTACATAGGAAGTGAAATATAATACTGAATAATATGTTATGTAATATATGTTAAATAAAATGTAAAATAATTAAAAAAAAAACCTTACAAATTATCCTACTTCTGATACTCTATATATATTCATCTCATTCTCTCATAGGTTATTTTTCTGATGTTCACTTCTACCGAGTGTGAATTGCACACACACACACAGTTTTTTTATAGTACAAAATCAGTTGTGACCAACCGAAATTTCGGTTTCGGCCAGTTTTGGGTAAAAAAATCTAGTTTCGGCTTTAGTTTCGGTTTCGGCTGAAAAAATTAGTTTCGGTCAGACAAATCAGTCATATTAAGTAATTTAGGTGTATAACTTTGTATTACAATAGTGATTTTTTCATTAATTTACAATTTAAAATGCAATAAATGATGATTGAAGGATGAATTAAACTTATATATTTTAAATCCCATTAATATATAAAAGCGAAAGTTTGGATGGATGTTTGTTACTCAGTCACACCAGACGGCTGAACGGAGCTGGATGAATTTGGCACAGATAGATTTATAGTTTAGAATAACACATTTATTTATCCCGGAAAAATGAAGAGTTCCCGTGGGATAGATTTGCTTTTGTTCTTTCACTATTTTTTATATTTTTCAAAATTAGTTATGTACTTTTTTAACAGCCAATAGAAGTAAGGCCATTCAAGCCACAAAGTGCCGAGTGCTTATGCAGTGTCACCTTGGAAGCTGATTTTATGCTGAAAAAAACGTAAGTATTAATACAATCCCGGTGTAAAATCAAATATTTTTTTTATATTTTCCTATAATCTAGTAAAATGTTTCATTGTATGTTGTTTCATGGCATTATATATTTATATATATATATATATATTTTATAATGCCATGAAACAACATATATATATATATATATATATATATATATATATATATATATATATATATATGTTGTTTCATGGCATTATAATAAAAAGAATAAAGAATATGTACGTACTGATTAAGAACACAGGATCACTAGTATATACAAAAATTCAATATTTGGAAGGTGTTCTAAATAAAAATCAAATCAATTTTAATTCACAAGTGCATTTTGAAGTGATTGTTCGACCGATCCATGGGTCAGCTACGGGAAAGCTTACTGTAGACCCGTAGATCGGGCGAATAGTCGCAGCTTATGAAGTAATAAGAATAATAGTATTAAGTAAAGGAATTTGAAAAGGGTTAAATGGAGTAATACTATTAGGTGGTCATATAGATCCAATTTCAATATTAGGAGATAAACTTCTATGAAAGAAAGCTCAAAAAAAAGAAATAAAAAAAAAAATTTCTGAAATAATAAATAGGATTATTCCTCATCGAAGACCTTTAGATACTAACATTGTATGTTTACCTTGGAAAGTTCCTTCTCGACAAATATCTAGGTAAATGTAAACTTATTGAGTAGTAAAACATTCAGAAAGCTTGAGCTAAATTTAATCGATCCATAGATAAGCTATGGTAAAGCTTCCCGTAGACGCGTAGCGTAGATCGGGCGAATAGTCGCAGCCGGCAGCCTTTAATTTAATTGGAAACTAACTACATAACAAACTTTAAAATTACCATGAATAAAAGTTATGTTATTAATTAGTGAAAGAGTGTTTCGTGTTTGTTATTTATTTGCGTTTTATCGGCTGAACAGATGTTAGTGAAATTCGGGATAGAGGTCGACGTTCCTATCACGAGGCCGCGAGTAAAAACTCGTAGTACTATACATATTATAGTAGTAACAATCATAGTAATATCGTGTATAATGTATATTTACGTGCACGGCTATGGGTAGTAGTTAGTAATAAACAAATATAACTTTTTTGGTGTATTGTAGGTATATTTGTAAAACAAGTCATTCGATATTCGGACTAGAAAGTCGAAAGGCAGCTCTACTGAAGTTACGGGCTCGATTCCTGTCTGACAAATAATAATCAGAGAAACGCTTCTTATACTATCTACCTTAGTATTTGTTTTGATTCATATAATTTGATAATTAATTATCATGTTATGTAAGCAATTCCTTAGCTTTTGAATAAAGTAGTCTTAAGTTTTATATTAACTTTTTTTCATTTAGAACATCAATGGAACCGTACGATTCTGAGCAAATGGCACGAGACTTTTTGATTCAGTTTGCAAATCAAGTATTTACAGTTGGACAGCAACTTGCCTTTTCATTCCAAGAGAAGAAAGTGTTGTCTTTGATTGTTAAGAATTTGGAAGGTATGTTTTATTTATTTCTTTTATTTTATGATTAGCATTCCTGATTAATGAAATAAATGTTTTATTATGGCGTAAGATTTTTTAATTTGACTTTTTATCTATGTCGTGTGTTAAGGGTTTTTGGAGAATGTTACTTTTGTAAATTTTATCTAAAATCGGTTGTGGGGAACTCAAAATACAGCCGCGAGTTTCTCGGTTTACCCACAACTCAACTAAATAAAAATAAGGCTTTATTGTTTAAGTTGTAAGTCCTGGTGGAGTGTTAGCTCAGTGGTAACGGTGGCTCGCTTGGGAAACCGAGTGAAGCGGGTTCAAATCCCGGGTCTCGCACATCTGATATTTTCATGTGCGAATCATTTCCAACTTGATTACTACTTGTCTTACGGCGAAGGAAAACATCGTGAGGAAACCTGCATGTCTGAGAGCACCTAATAAGTTTCCGAAAGACATGTGAAGTCCGCCCGCACTTGGCCAGCGTGTTGGACTATCGCGTGTTCCTCGCATTGAAGGGAGTTTTGTGCCCTGCAGTGCGACGTTAAAAAGGGCTGAATACACAAATTATTAATAAAAAATGTGTTTATGACAGCGGTGGACGTACAAGCTCTAGCGGCCGGCTCTAACGCGGTGCCGCGGCGCGTGAGGATGGGCAGGTTGCTGCCAGATGCGTGCATTCAGTTTGACAAAGCTGAGAACTCATCTCTCAACCTAATAGGCAAAGCTAAAGGGTGAGTATGTTATATTTTTTAGGGTTCCGTACCTAAAAGGTAAAACGGGACCCTATTACTAAGACTCCGCTGTCCGAACTTCGTACGTCTGTCTATCTGTCTGTCTGTCTGTCACCAGGCTGTATCTCATGAACCGTGATAGTTAGACAGTTGAAATTTTCACAGATGATGTATTTTTGTTGCCGCTATAACAATAAAAATAAATACAGAATAAAATAAATATTTAAGGGGGCTCGCCTCCCATATAACAAACGTGATTATTATTGCTCGTTTTTGCTCGATGTTGATAACGGCAACGAAAAGATGCTTGAAATATTCACAGAATTTTTAGTTATATATTCACTTTAAAAATAAATACTTAAATTAAAACAAATATTTAATGGGAGTTCCCATACAACAAACGTGATTTTTTTGCTGTTTTTATAAATCATGGTACGGAATCCTTCGTCCGACTCGCATTTGGCCAGTTTTTTTAACACGAAGTAAGAAAGAAATCCCTAAATAAAAAAAAAAGTTGATTGAAGTTAGAATGTAATGTCTAAGTAAGGAATACAACCGTATTTGAAAGTTCTGAGATCGAATCCTGTACGGGGTAATTTGTTAAAAGTATAGATGTTTCAGCCTTTTGAACAGCCAAAACAATGTGTTCTTAGTACCTGTGCACTAAGTATAGTATTTGATAAATACTTATTAATAGTACCTAATTAAAGTACATTATTTTAATATTACCTATTTGTTTGCCTTTATATACCTACCTATGCCTTTATATACTATAATATTACCTATCTATTTTGCGGTTATGAATGTGATTAATTAAAAGATATTCATAATAATATATTATTTCAAATTCACGTCATTATGTTCATATAGTACATAAAAACATAGAGATAATTTTACTACTCTAAACCCGAGGAGATAAGATTTTAAAGATGCTAATGTTTGTCAAATTAACATAACTCTTATGTAAAAATATCTTGCCATTAGAAAGACATTTCTTAAACATTTATCAATTCTAAAACGAATACATAAGTACCTAATAATCTTCATTTAAATACGAGTATATATTTTCTTCTTTCTTCTCTTATATTTTAATATATTTTCATGATTTTGTTTAATAAATAGTTGCGATCACTAATAATAACTTATGGTTATCTATACTAACATTATAAAGAGGCAGAGTTTGTTTGTTTGATCGCGCTAATCTCAGGAACTATTATTCCGATTTGAAAAATTCTTTTTCCATTAGATAGCCCGTTTATTGAGGGAGGCTATAGGCTATATATCATCCCGGAAAAATGAACGATTCCTACATTTTTGCCTAGGGACGAACCCGAAGTTATCAAATATATCTAATATTCGAAAGTATATCTAATAATCTTCTATTATATAATCATATAATTTTTAATGTTACATTTGCGCATTAACAGCATTTATAAGTTTAATCGTAACATAGGAAACAACCACGCCAGTCCATCATCAACCCGGACTGGGACTTCGGTAAGATGGGTATCGGCGGTTTGGACAAAGAGTTCAATGCCATCTTCCGAAGAGCTTTCGCCTCTCGTGTGTTCCCGCCCGAGGTGGTCGAGCAGTTGGGTGAGTTTTAATTGATTTTTTTATCATTTTACATAATTTAGTTAAATTATTTATTTATGTATTATCACACAATATGAGTAGATAATAACTCATATTAAGTGTGTTGTTACACTTTCCATGTTATGTGTATGTATGTGTACCTATGTGTAAAATATATTTTTTCATATATGAGTGTAATAGAAGTATTTATTATGATTTTTTTTATTTCTATAATTTAAGTAATCTAAAAACTATGTTAAGTTTCTTTCATAAACTACAAAATGTCTACAGTAGTCTTTATATAAAAATACTTCAGAAAAAGTAAATACTTAAGTATTTTCAATATAAATGTTCATACTAAATAATAACATTTTAGGTTGCAAGCACGTAAAGGGTATTCTGCTATACGGGCCGCCCGGTACTGGTAAAACTTTGATGGCGAGGCAGATCGGTAAAATGTTGAACGCCAGAGAGCCCAAGATCGTGAATGGTCCACAGATTCTTGACAAATACGTTGGTGAGAGTGAAGCCAACATTCGGAGGCTGTTTGCTGATGCTGAAGAAGAAGAAAAGAGGGTAAAAATATAAACAATTATATTAATAAATACAATCTTGTCAGAGATATCAAGCTGGGTACGGATCTCCCTTCAATACGAAAGGGATGGCCTGATCCTTCTCGTATTGAAAGGAGATAGGGTGGAATATGGAGTCCACCACGTTGGCCAAGTGCGTGTTGGCGGACTTCACATGTCTTTCGACAACTTGCTAGCTTCTCTCAGACATGCAGGTTTCCTCACGATGTTTTTTCCTTCACCGTAAGACAAGAGTTAATGATGTTGGAAATGATTCGCACATCAAAATATCAGAGGAGACCCGGGATTTGAACCCGCTTCACTCGTGGTTCCATGCGAGCGTGCTGTCATCACTGGGCTACTACTGTCTTTTTTAAAGTATCATATATAGTGTAAAAGTTAATTCGTAACCGACTTTAGAAAAGCGGTTATGAATTCTGCTGAAGTGTTTGTTTTTTATGCAATATTTACAATAACTGTAAAGGGCATAGAGGTTTTGATTAAATTAAGGTAGAAGACATATTACATTTTGTACAGTGTTAATTGATTTTTATGTTTAAATCTAGTTAGAATTTTCTTTGAAAATTAATTTTATCCGTATTTTAAACTGTAGTATAATTTATTATACCTACAAATAAAACTGCGACTTATTATTTTGTTTCAGCATAAAATAATGAAGTCGACAGTTTAACCTATCGATGCAATACTTGCATGTTAGATGTAGGTCAAGATTAATCAAATTAAACAAGACTTAGTTCAGCTTTATTTAGAATTTGCTAACTTACATATACATATTATGTATACGATAAACTTATTATGTAAGAAATAAGTAAATATGCTAATGAGTTGAGGTTTTTTTTTGAAAAATGGGATTCATTTTTTGTTGTTGGCTCTCCATAAATCTATACATAATATTAATAAATGTATATGATATTTTAATACGGTAATTATGTAAGAAAACCCAACTTTTAAAATTTTTGTCTGTCTGTTTGTTCCGGCTAATCTCCGAAACGGCTGAACTGATTTTGACGGGACTTTCACTAGCAGATGTTATAAGGAGTAACTTAGCCTACTTTTATTTTAGAAAAAGAATTAGGATTCCGCTAAAAAAAATTTAAACGTATTTAGGAACGCCCCCGAGCGGAGCGAGGATAAGTCGCTAGTATAGAATAAAAAGGTTACATAAATAAATTTTATGTATAAGTCATAATAATAATGATGAATTATTAAATAAAACTATCTTTATAAGAAAGTATTAAATAATGATGAATTTGATTCTACTTATAACACTATTTATTCTATATTACAACTTATTTCCTAATATAACATCAAAGTTCTAAAATGATTTTTATAAATCTTTACGGCCATATAAAGAATAATTTTAAGATTACTAAATTTTTTCACAATATTAAATATTGAACTTTTAGTTATTAAATAGTATGAAAAGAATATTGGTTACTTTGTATACATAATTTTTCACTGACAATTCATTTTGGCTGTTTGTTTGTTTAAACGCGCTAATCTCAGGAACTAATTCGATTTGAAAAATTCTTTTGCATTAGATACAAGGGGTATCTATTATTAAGGAAGGTTATAGGCTATATATCATATAATACCTATTCTAGATGCTAACCGTTAAAACGTACCTAGGGACGAACCCGACCGAAGCGAGGGTGAGTCGCTTGTGTCATATAAAGTGAGAATCTCATCTGTGTGTCATTATTTATTTGGTTTGTCTAAGACTAACTTTGGAATCGATAATTTAACTATTGTTTTTCTATTGTCTTTAGTGCGGTCCTAACAGTGGTCTCCATATCATAATCTTCGATGAAATCGACGCCATTTGCAAATCGAGAGGCTCTGTGGGAGGAAACACTGGTGTTCATGACACGGTTGTCAACCAACTGCTTTCCAAGATTGATGGTAAATTTTATTGATACGTTTTTAATAGCTTAAATTATATCTATATAAACAAATGTTAAGGTTTTTTATTAATTCATATATTTCGAAGTACAAATTTGAAATTTTGTTAGTATGTAAAACCAGAATGACAACGCAATAGCTTGATAGCGAGCTGATCTGATGGAGCAAGGAGTGAAAATGTTGAATGGCTACTAATAAACTGTGGTTTCATTTCATACATACATTTTGTAGGGAAAAACGATTATATTATATTAATCAACTCGAAATATTCTATGTTGCCATATATCATATTCTAGTACACATACCTTAAACTTTCCCATAGAGTAGTTTGATTCCTATATGAAACTACGATCGATTGGTATAACAAATTTTTTTTGCGTATTTTAGCATTTTCTTCGCTGACTGTACATTTTTCCAAAATCAGTGAAGCAGTTCAGAATATCTCAAAAAGCTATGAATGGTTTCCTAGAAACGTTTTCCTGTAACTATAACAGTTAAGGTACCTGCCCTTACTGTCCCGTCTCAAAAATCCATCCCGTATAGTCTATCTATTCCATACTAACCGTTAAAATGAACCTAGGGACGAACCGGAGTGAAGTGAAGGTGAGTCGCTAGTTAATTATATTTATGTATGTTAATAATATAAACAACATACCCACAGGTGTGGACCAACTGAACAATATCTTGGTGATCGGCATGACGAACAGGCGGGACATGATAGACGAGGCGCTGCTGCGGCCCGGCCGCCTCGAGGTGCAGATGGAGATCGGGCTCCCGGACGAGACCGGCCGCGTGCAGATACTGAACATACACACCAAGAGGATGAAGGAGTACAAGAAGATTGCTGAGGATGTCGACAGCAAGGTATGTGTGTGGTGTTGCCATTTTTTGAATATTGAAAATTAATTTTTTTTGGAAAGGAGGTTTTGATTTGAGTTGCAATTTTTTTGTGTAATGATTTTATTTTGTAATATCTTTAGGATATGGGACTAACGTTCCATTTAATTTTGTTGCAATGCACTTTCTACAATAGTGTCATTTTGTGGTCGGTTCTCGTTCTGACTAGCATGCAAGTCATCGGTTTAATTAAATATTGAATACTCGACTTGATAACATTTAGACATTAGTGAAATGAATATGTACAGAGACTATAAAAAATTATTGACCTGTGGTGATAGTAGGAGATCCCGATCTGCTTGGTGGACCCCTCATTCATTTTCCAATGATTTTTTTTAAATCTTAACAAACACGACCCAGGGGGATTGTCACCAAAAATTTGCTCCAGTCTATTCTTAATTAAAAAAATTAATAGTTTTTTAAGTACAAGAACTCTTGTCCTGTGACAAATTAGTATCAATCGACAATAAAAGACTTGTAAAAAATGCCATCATATGTTTGGCAGCTTTTTTCGAACTAATTACCTGACATTCAGGTATAAACTCGTAAATTGAAGTAGTTAATTTCTCGTAACGTTTTCTGGAACAAACCAAGTATCAAAATGTAGTTAATTTTATAACAAATTTAATGAAATAGGGTTGTCATATCAAAACATCTCCAGACTAGACTATAAACCTTAAAGAATGCTCATTATATACAAAACCCTTAACACGTCACACCGGGTGCTTTTAATATTTAATAAAAAGTGTCGTGACGGTTGAAATATTACACTTTTTATGTCTGATTCGCCAAGTGTGCCGAGTATAAAGTGCGATAAGGTACTTTGTACCAAAAAAACCTATAATTTACATCAATTCCCGTACTCTAGGAGCTAGCGGCCCTCACAAAGAACTTCTCCGGCGCAGAGCTAGAGGGTCTGGTGCGGGCGGCGCAGTCTACAGCCATGAACCGCTTGATCAAGGCCTCGTCCAAGGTGGAAGTGGACCCCGAGGCCATGGAGAAGCTGATGGTGGAACGTGGGGACTTCTTGCATGCTTTGGAAAATGATATTAAACCGGTAATTTATGTTATATTATATACTTGTGAAAGGTGTTTTTGTCGCCAGCTCTTTTCAGGACTGTGGCTTTTAGTTTGTGAACTGGTTGTAGACTTGTGGTGTTCAGTAAAAAAATGTAACAATTTAAAGCTTAACAAACATTTTCGAATTACCTATATGTTAATTAATTCAAATGTCATTCTTGTCTGTTAAACATAACGTAAAGCTTGAGAGGATGTATAGATGTATATTTGCTGCTATCTCACGCAAAAACTACTGAACGAATTTAGGTGAAACCTTACAGTAAAATAGCTTACCCATCAGAGTAACACATATGCTTTATATATATATATATATATATATATATATATACGGGCTAAATAAACGGTCTATTTTAGGCATTTGGTACATCAGCTGAGGCGTTGGAACATTTCCTAGCGCGTGGCGTCATTAACTGGGGCTCTCCTGTCACGTCTATACTAGAAGATGGCCAGTTATATATACAACAAGCGAGAGCTACTGAAGATAGTGGTGAGAGAGAAAAAAATACTTATTGATAATACTAGTGATATGCCCTTACTTTTAATATAATGTGTAACTCGTTCAACTTGATTTATTGGGATATGTTTCTATCGTGTCGATTCTTTTGTTGGATAAAAGAAGGACAAACAAACAAACTAGCACACGCACACTCACACACGCACAGACACACGCACAATCGCACACACACGTAATAAATATTCACACACGCAACACATACATACACACACACGTTTCGGATAAACACAACTATAATTGAGTGAAGATTTTTATATCAACAATAATACTTATGAGTATGTAGACTGACATATAATAATCCACATTCAATGCATTTAAATACTAGCAATGCCCGCGGTTCCGCCCGCGTTCCGATGACCAAAAATTCTTAGGTTTTATATATTAGTATACTCTTACATTGCAGTTTTTGTATTTTTTCTCAGAAATGAAATATTTTCCCGCGGTAAAAAGTATCCTATATGTTGTCCCGGTTAACCAGCTGTCACCATACCAAATTTCATCAAAATCCCTCCAGTGGTTTTCCGTGATGTGGTAACAGACAAACAAAAATTCTAAAAACTATAGATTCGGCCTCTATCGATAATAATGTCTATTTCAATAAGATTTTCCAAAAAATATTTAAAGTACAGATTCGGCTTAGTTAGAATTTTATTATATGTATAGATTAAATAATTTATTGTAGATGTGTTTATTATAGAGATTTTAATATATAAAAAAAAAAAATTTTTCTTTTTAGGTCTTGTATCAGTCCTGATAGAAGGGCCTCCCAACAGCGGCAAAACCGCACTTGCAGCGCAACTGGCCAAGATGTCAGACTTTCCATTTGTCAAAGTTTGCTCGCCTGAAGACATGGTCGGGTTTACTGAGACCTCTAAATGTTTGCAGATACGGAAGGTAATTTTTAAATTATATTGGAAATAATAAATAATGAGCCTTACATTAAGCTTATAAAAAATATGACACTGATGTAATTTAGCGCATCATTTTACGGAAAAAGGAGTTCTTCAATTCAATATTCAAATTGATTTTAGTGGTTAAATCTTTTTCAATGGTGTTTCATTTCAATTAAAACATATTTGAAAAAATGGTATATGTATATTACAATACAGTCCTCTCTTCTCTTGGCTATTTTCCTATGTCTTATGTATGATGTACTTCCCAATCCATTCAGTCGTTTCAGCGTGAAAAATCTACAAACACACGCACATATGTACTTATTTATTACATAATAGTAAATCGATTATACTAACGCAGTACTTTGAATATTTAACTCATGGTCACAGTATCTGTACACTAAATCTCATTCTTATCCCTTCAACCTTTATGTATACACATAGAAACATACGACAACGCACACACTCATTTATAATAGTAAAACAATTTTCGCTTTCAAAAATTGCAAAGTTATAAACAATTAACTAATAATAAAAAAGGGAGTTTAGTTTTTGCAAATATCTCAAAAACTCATTGAGGTTTTTCAAATCTATAAAAAGATTTTTCTAAAAAAATTTCTAAAGAAATTTTCTAAATAGCCCCGAACTGTGCGACCAATATTTATAATTTTCCCAGAGGGATGAAAATACGGCCGAAAACGCGTGCTCTGGCTGGGCCTTGGCCAGCGGACTATGGCCTAATCCCCATCATATTAAAGGGAGGTCCGTGCCCAGCAGCGGGACGTCAAAAAAGGGCTGAATACAATCTAATACCTAACTATTCTATCGTTGTCTTCCAACAGTACTTCGACGACGCGTACAGGTCGTCGCTGTCGTGCATCCTGGTGGACAACATCGAGCGCCTGCTGGACTACGGGCCCATCGGGCCGCGCTACTCCAACCTCACGCTGCAGGCGCTGCTCGTGCTGCTCAAGAAGCAGCCGCCCCGCGGCCGCAAGCTGCTCATACTGTGCACCAGCAGCCGCAGGTGATGCGGATAACTCTCATAATACATACTTTATACTTTTGAAGTGAAACTTCTTTAGAATCGTTGTGATTTGAAACACGATAAAACGGAAATGCGGCACGATAAAGAGACGACCACATAAATATATAGGACTAGCGGAACTCTAGACAAACATAAATAAATCTATCTCACGGGAACCGTACATTTTTTCGGGATAAAAAGTAACCAATTTTGTTTCCGATGAACTATATTATGGTAAAGTTTTATTTTTGTGTACTATGCTGTATAAGTTACTATAGTTTTTGAACTATCCCACGGGAACTCTTTAATTTTCCGGGATAAAAAGTATCTAAAATGTTGACCGGGGTTATAATGTACCACCATGCAAAATTTCATTTAAATCGGTCCAACAGTTTCTAAGATTAGCCCGTACAAACAGATAAACAGACAGAGAAACAAAAAAATTAAAAAAAAACCCAGACTTGGTTTTTAGCATTTTTTTCTATGTACAGACATTCGACCTCTACAGTTTTATTATATGTATAGAATTAAGCCAGTGAGATAATGAGATAGAATACATTGCAATGTTGCCATGGTAACAAAAGTTAAAGTTACACACACCCATTTTTTTTTACTAAAAAAAAACTTTATACTTATAGGTTTTCGGGAATATTTGACATTTTAAATAAAAAACTTCACATTTTAAAGAAAAATCTTTTCGGATTTTTCCGTGGATTTATTTTGATTCCCTCCCGTGACTATGATTACCGTAAAATATTTGAAACGTCGGGAATCAAAAATCTAAATAAATCCGCGAAAAAGTCGGAAATGATAGTTTTATTTATAACAAGCGGCTCACCCTTGCTTCGCTCGGGTTCGTCCCTAGCTCGATTTTCCATACAAAATTTCATCCCCATTTTCACCCCTTTAAGGATTTCCTTACCAAATTTCATCTAAATCGGTCCAGTAGATTGCCCCCTACAACGTCACAAATACACAATTTACAAACTTTTCGCTTTTATAATATTAGTATAGATAATAACTAACATTCAACAGACAAGTGCTGGAAGACATGGAGATGCTGTCGGCGTTCACGGGCGTGCTGCACGTGCCCAACCTGTCCGCGCCCGAGCACGTGCTGGCCGTGCTGGAGGCCAGCGACGTGTTCAGCAAGCGCGACCTCGCCGCCGTGCAGCGTGACCTGCGCGGAGCCAAGTGCGTGTTTACCAGCTTTATTTGTTTTTTAGGGTTCCGTACCTCGAAAGGAAATAAGGACCTTTTAGGATCACTTCGTTTGTCTGTTGAGACCCTTTTTCACGGGGACGCGTGGTGTCGAGTTAAAATTTATATCAAACACTCAGGTCTGTAAACCCTTGGAGCTGTGAAAAATTCAAACTTCTAAGTCAACACAATCGAAAGAAACGGCCGTTTATGCCGCATATTTTGACACTTGCGAGGAGAATTGGAAGGAAATCAAAACCTATAAGGTATTTGACGTAGAATTATGAAATATGGCAAGAAGCAATGTCATAAACCACAAGTAAAGGGGAAAATACGTAAATCGTAAATTTGTAGTTATATCACAAAATTGTGATTATAAACTTATTTTAATGTTACATGCTACTCACGTGTGCGAGACAGACTCGCATTTGTCCGATTTTTTTTATACATAAATTTTATAATAGCAAATAAATATAAAATAATATTTTATAATAATAATTATAAAATTTGCTATTATAAAATAACATTTTATACACCATATTATAAAATAAAATTATACATATTATCAAATAAAATTTTATAATAGCGAAGGTGGAACGATCTGATAAGTAAACAGTAAATGATATACAATACCTTTGATTAAAAAAGGGGTATAGTCTTTTGTTTCCTTTTTCTAATATAACCTGATTGGTTGGAGTTTTAGAGTTGTGCCAAATATATGTATATTATAATTTTTTTTGTTCTTCTTTGCTATGATACTAAGTAAACATACAGCCTGATAAATGAGCTATAACATATCAACATATATAACAGTCAATACATATTAAAACAAATCTCCTGTATCATTAAAATATCAATATAACGTTTAAATATTTATTATATTATATAGTTTATAAAATAAGGAATATCATCTAATAATTAATTTGTCTTTGCAGGATATTTATCGGTATTAAAAAGCTTCTGGCCCTTGTTGATATGGTGAAGCAGACGGACGAAGGCTCGAGGGTTCACAAGTTCCTTACGAAACTGCAAGAAGAAGGCGCCGTCGATCTCGGTACTTCGGTACAATAAGATTTATTGCAACCTTAGGGGTTACATGCGCATACCACATACACGCCCTCACTACCACATACATACAAAACACTAAACCGACCCTCCGAAAGCTCCCCCTGCGCCTCAGACCTCAGGAGCTTTGAAATCGACTACGATGAAATCAGCGAATGCACCGAAATACCCGATACCAGTCTCAAAGTCACCAGAACGGCTAAAGGGAATGAAATATCTCCAATGAAAATGCCCCTCATGAGAATCAGAAGCGTCGAAATAGTATTTGAAGATGAAATATCAACATACACTGACACTAATCTATTAGACCACAGTATAGAATTGATTGTTTCCGACAGTGACGACTCCACTAAATGTGTGGACGATTTGGAACAACTCCACGAAAACGAAGACTCGGTCACTTTAAACCCAGAAGTCGATTTATCAGATGATAATTCAGCTTCGAATATCGATGTCCCGAAATGTATCGAGAACATCCAGATATCTGAAGACTCCACAGCTATCGATGATACGATATCGATAAATATATCGGAATGGTGCGATTCGGGACGCTTCACTGAGGAGGCTTCGTCATCTCACATCGAAGTTCCAGTATTGTATTCGGACGCTGTGCTTTCCAATTCGTACGACGCCGTCAATGTTGATGAATCGATTATCAGCGTGTTCGAGGCGGAAATCGATAAAAAAAAGCTTTACGAGTACATCGATAGTGACAGCGATAGTTCGGACAACACGGCCGTATGTGACGATACTGAGAATCTGAAAACATCCGACGGTAACTTGGAAGACACTCTGTGCGACGCTAATGATCTTCAATACGATTCGTTTGTTGATATTGGTAAATTTTAACTCTTTCTAATAAAAAACGCTTATTATTTAATATTTATAATCTATATTGACGCTTGTTTATGTTTTATCTGTTGCTTATAGTTACTTGATGATATATTTTTTGTGTGTGTGTACATTCCACTTATATGAGGCTAGCTTCTGAGCATGCATATCTCGTTGTGAGCTATTTACGCCCTACGAACCTTTTTGACACAGCTTAAGCTCGACGGGCTGAGTGGTATGCGATATCCCGTAACCATGTCATTGTATAACACCATATCAATTACTATTATAGCATCTTCCATAGTGTTTTTATGTAAATAAAATTCTTTTATAGGAGTAGATGTCGTTGGTTGTTACAAACTGTTGTACTTAGTACTTACAGTGGCATGGTTACAGAAATTCCGGGGTTGTAAGAGTAGCCAATAGCTCAATTTTTTGTATAATATAATATAGTTTCGAGGGCAATATTATTTATTTGTGTTATGTAAATGTGATACAGCTTGATGCTGTTTAATTTAATTAAGTGTATTTAATTGTTATAATATATTAATAGACATAGCTTTTTAAGTGGAAAATGTCAATATGAAAGTATTTACTCTAGTATTATGGAATTTGCAATTGTTGTCAGTAGTGATAGGACCTTTACGACTTTATGGCTTAAAACCTACAATTATATTCAAAAGTACAATTTATTAATATTGTATTGAATAAGCTTTTGATGTTGTACTTTGTAGTTGAATTTTAAATATTTTCAATCTACAGCACTAGGACGGTGAAGGTGGATGGGTTGCATTGCCAAATAAATATATTTATAGAATCAAATTGCAGCTTCAATGTTTTAGTGATTTGTTACAAATTAACGAGATACACCAAAATAAGTGATGATAATCAAATTATATTTAAAATTGTTGAAATAATAAATCAGTATATAAATGTTAATATTAGTTGCTAGCAATCTGTTTGTTGTTACTATTTTATTCGCATTAAATGCATAGGACATTCCATTTCACATTCATGAGCTATGAAAATCACATGATACTTATCATATATATAATGAAATCTAATGGATATCTCATTTAAATTTCAATATGCTTGTAGTACACTGTAGATGATCGAAAGGTTAATAATAAAATATTTTTCCTATTGTATAGTGAATTTTAAAATCTATATTGTATCAGCAAAATTAAGTAAAAGGTTACCCACATATAGTTTAAAGGAATTGATAGAAAAGTCTAGCCTTAAATGTATGAAAATACAAATGTATGTACACTTTCCTTGTATGTATTTACTGATACAATTAACTGTTGCAAAATAATAAATAAAAAGATTGACAATCAAATTTTACTTTCTCGTTAAACCCTTTTATCTACCTATATCTTGTCTATCACTTTTAGTTGACAAGCGAGACAAAGCATCTCTACTTCCAATCTGGCAAAATTTGCTTTCATCTGTCCAGTTTGTTGGTACGCCTATTGTATTTTATAACCAATCTGGACGAAACTTGGTATACAGGTTTTATGACTTTATAGATTTTTCTGTCATAGGGGATTTTTGATTGGAGTGGTACTTCTTTCAAAAAGGAGGCTACTGAATATAATATAATCTTGAGATCCAATTTCGATGGTTCTTTTTTTATTTGGAAGGTTGTAACTTTATATTGGTTTCATAAAATTTGGTGATGATCTGATGAGGATCTTCGACATGATGAGTAGAATATGTCTTCAAAATGTAGTTTGTGCTTGTGAGATCTACTAAAAGCCCGTAGAATATAAATTTAATAATGACATCCAAAAGTGAATATTATTTTTCACTCTGAAAATAGGTACTATGAGGCTCTTTGTCTCTAAAAACCTACAGTAGCACTGGTCCCTGCATTAATGGAACACTGCAGGATCATTTTTGTGCATAAACTACAATGATTCCAAAAAAAGCTGAACATATTACAACAAATTATTTGCCAAATGTAGTAGTACCAGTAGTAGCAAATTTGATTAGGTAAGAAAAGATATGAAATATATAAATAATAATCCTTTTATTTGACCATAATATAATAAAACTATTGATGTTCTTGAAAAAATAAAAAAAATGTTTACTGGTATTTTTATAATTTTAAGAATAAAATTGAAGTACTGACAATTAAATTTAAACAAAATATATTTTATAAACACAAAATTATTTCAACTTAAAATAACCTTAAAACTAATTAGCAGTTTCACATGCATCCACCCAGTCATTATAAACATCTATGGGTTCAGATAAAACATTAGTTGTGGTCTGAAAATCTTCTAAGCAAACTCTACATTGTATTCTGGCTGTATTTCTTGCCCGATCCCTGTAAAGGAACCAATAAAATTCATTAAACCAGTTCTGTATGTACAAAATAAATCTATAATAAAAGTTTTGAATATACAAACATTTTAACTTCACAAGATTTTTCGTGGTTACAGAAGGGACAGTTAAACTGTTGATCTAGTGGCTCTATAGCTTTTCTTTTTGGTGGTGGCTTTCGTTTAGATTTGCGGCGACCCATATCTAAAAAATAAACAGTTTGATCGGCAAGCCTGATATGAGAAATCAAATTACAATATTAAAAACAAAAATGTTGATAGAATATTTAAGTTTGTTGCATTTGTTGGAATTTATCATACCGGTATTTAATGTTTATTTATCAGATAATCCAAATAGTAAATACGATACAGACGGACCACCTCAACTTATAAACAAAATGTCATTTTAAATTTTGATTTGATTGACATACATAGTGACGTTTAAAAATGTGTTACACAAATAGGTCCATAGACAAATACGTCGAAATATGTACTACGCCTACTGTTATATATATAAAACTGTTATTGACTATTGTAATCTACTCTTGTTAATTCCGAAAAAGCCAGTAAAGAAATCTAACCACAACCTATTATTTGGTGTATATATATATAAATGTATATATTTATACTTATTCGAATTATTATTTCGAACCCTAGTCATATTTCTTGAACATCACAGTCGACACTTATTTTAAAGGATTTAAAGCAACGTAATAATTGTTTTTAGCTTAGCCTGTCTAGTCTGTGACATTTTAAAGTCTATGATCTATAACATTAACAAATGGCCGACGATAAATGGCGTTTACAAAATTTGTCACGGTTAAAACTTATAGTTAATGTGATATGAATATAAGTGGAACATTTTAAATGGAATAAGTTAAGAATTACTTATGTTTATTCGTTTAAGTTACATAGATTAGCATAGCTAACCTCAAAATTATATCAAAATGGAGCTTCCACAGCCACCACAGGGTACTGCCAATTTTTACTTCTATTTAAATTATTTGTATGGTCTGCATTTGTATATCCCTAATGCTATTTTAATCTACAGATCAAGATCTGCGTAACATAATCGACAAACTTGCGCAGTTCGTAGCAAGAAATGGCCCGGAATTCGAGAAGATGACCAAAACCAAACAAAAAAACAACCCTAAGTTCAGTTTCCTCTACGGCGGGGAGTTTTTCAACTACTACCAGTACAAAGTGACGACAGAGCAAGCAAGTAAGCATATTGACGAATGGTGGAAATAGAATAATCGCGGTCGCGCGATCGCTGCTTGCGTGTTATAACCGTTTCAAGTGACCCTCCGCTGTTTATAGTTCTAAAGCAATCGGCCGGTGGCCAGGCGGCACCCGCTCCCGGGGCTTATATGGCACAGAACAGGCAATATGTAATGCCCCAACAGGCCAGCGCAACGCCGCAGTTGGGCCTGGCAGCGACGATGGCGGCGGCACCGGCGCTGCAGCAGTGGCTTGCGGCCAACTCTACGCCGCAGCCTCCGCACTCTGCAGACATCGACAACGTCAATGCCCAGATCAACATCCTTAAAGAACAAATTACTCAATCGGAAAATAATCTCAATGCCCAGCATACGGTGAGTTTGTGCATCCTACTACTGACTGTAAAGCTTATTGGAAACACAATTTTAACATTATTACTGCAGTTTCTTAATATGTTTATGTACTGGAGGTAGACATAAAAAGAAATTTAATTCTTTCTAGTTTGTTTTTATAACTTAAAGTGTTTTATAATCAAGTTTCAGTATGTATCCGTTAAGCAGGCAGGTAGTCTTCAAGGCAAATTGCATGCTTTTTGTCAACAACACTTCTTACTTTTATACTTTAATATACATAATATATGCATGTGGCAGATTTGTTCTCAGTGTTATTTAGAATTTTTTTAGAATAGTTTACAACAACAATAATAAATCTCCATACATTAAAATAGGTACTCCACATTATCTAGGCACTTAGCTTCTCTTTCAAAATTTTCATACACAATTGTATTTCTTTTTTGTAATTCAAAATAAATAAGAATATGTATTGTAGGTATTGATACAGCAACAGCAAGCTAAAATTAATGAGCTGGTGAGCAAGGCCCAGGTAGAAACAATACAAATAATGTCAGAAGAAAACAACATAAGTCTCACAGAACTTGATAGCATCTTGCAGCCAATAATTGACACTTGTACTAAAGACAGTATATCTACAGGTGTGTTCATAAAATATGTATTACTTATATTAAAATTGAAGAAATTACTCTTTTTTTTTTTAATTAAGTAAATTTCACAAATGTATAAAAAAGGAGGAAATACCTGTCATTGACTTATAAGTTATAATGTTTTTCTTATAAAAAGATTGGTCTAATATTCTGTCTGAACATAATAATATAGTACTTGATATTTTGTAAAACAAAATCAAAAACTAGCTAAAGTGCATAAGAAAATAAAAAAGATACCTCTTTTTAAGTTAAAAGATTTTTCATCCAAGAGTATGTATGTTTAAATTTTCTTTTACTTTCTAAAATATTTCCAACGTTCTAATAATATTATTTACTATAGGTAAAGGATGGATCTTACAACACGCAACTTCTAATGAGGCAGGGAAGGTGATATCACAACATCTGCTAAGAAAAGTCACTCAACCTGGAGCCGCCTTTACCCAAAAGCTGCACATCATTTACCTTGTCAACGATGTTTTACATCACTGGTTAGTATGTTCTTTACTATTATATAGTAAAAGCTTATAGATAGAAAACTTAATTGATAATAAAACCTTGTATTGCCTTGTGCTGAAAGGGCCAGGGTATAATATGGTATTAAATGAGTTTAAGTATGTCAATACAGTAATAATAAGATACTAATCTTTTTTGGTCCTTTTGGAACAGAGCTGCATTTATTGGGCGCACTATGTGTTATTTATCACAAGCTTTCAGTTCTATTTTTGTGTTAACATTGTAATTTCACAGTTGAGTGTTGTCAAATTAAAGTTCAAATGGTTTCTTATTGGTTGTATTTTGTTATTGTTTTATTTGGTTGTATTTTATAATGGATTTTATATATTGTTGTAATTTTTTTTTTATATTTGTATTGTATGTTATGGAAAGTAAATTATTCTAATGTATGCACCCTTGCAATCACTGCCAATTCGGTGTCTATGATACGATTATTCCTAATTACAGTGCACGCAAAAACGCTGAAGATCTCAAGAAAAATTTGGAAAATGTGGTGGTTCCAATGTTTTGCAATGCCAGTATAGGTAACATATTTATAATAATGTCAAAGATTTAGGTCTCTTGTCCGTTTGCGCACTTAAAGCATCTAGAACATATGTGGTTAAACCTTCAGGTAACTTGCTTGAGTCACATTTGTTTGTATGACAACTCTTTAATCATTCTGCTGTTTCAGCTGTGACCGAGGAACAAGAAGCTAAGTTGAATAAGCTGCTTCGACTGTGGGAGTCTAAGTCTAACTACTTTGACTCAGCTGTCATTGAGAAAATGAAGACCCCCACCACTTCGTACCAGGAGTACCAGAACAATCTGATAGCGCAACATTCTAACGCCATTGCTCATTTATCACAACAAACCAAAGCCACATTTGAGAAGTATGTACTTGTGGTTGGCCTATAATTATATACTTTCATCATTATTTACCATTGTCTAAATGTTTTCTTTTCAGTTATCAATCTCAGCACCAAGCGTTTGTGGCTCACACAATGCAACAAATACAGCAGATGAAAATGCAAAAACATGCACTGGAAATACAAAATAATCATGAACATAATAAGGAAAGTCAACCACCAATACCAAACCAATTTCAAAGCAATTTCAATGATCCAAGCTATCCACATTATGATCAAAATTTCAATTCAGGCCAACAGTATGGTAGCGAGAGTGGGGACAACTATCCTTCAAATAATAGCATTAGTGGAAACGAAAATAGTTATGATAGTCAAACCTTTGATCAAATTACGAATCAGAAAAAAACAGAAATAGAAGAACCAGACTTATCAAATCTGCCAAATGTAAATTTTTCACAACCGCCACCCGGTTTTAAACCTTCAGAAAGTTCTTTGCTAGCATTCCAAAACGGTCTTCCCGATCTCAGCAAACCTCCACCAGGCTTCGTTCCCTTCCCGGAAATCAATAATGAGGACTTAATGCCCTCTGTACCATACTTTGAATTGCCTGCTGGGTTAATGGTACCACTTATTATGGTAAGGAACATTATTTTTATTTAAAATTCAATTTTAGTACAGAATTTGTGAATTGGTTGTGAATAGTAAAAGGTAGAGTGTTTTTTTTACTTATAACAAAAACTCAATTTTTAAAATTTTTATTTGTCTGTCTGAGTTACCAGCTAATGTCCAAAAGCTGGATTGATTTTGACGGGATTTTCACTGGCAAATAACTGATGTTATAGGGAGTAACTTAAGCTACTATTATTTTAGATATACAATTAGGGTTTTGCTCATAAAAATTAAAACGTACCTAGGGATGCACCCAAGCGAAGCAAGGGTAAATCGCTAGTCTATACTTAATATTATAAATATAGGTAAAGTTTGTGAGTTTGTGACGTTGTATGGGGTAATCTCTGTATCTACTGAACTGATTTAGATGAAATTTTGTAAGAAGATAATTTGAGACCCTCTGATACTTTTCATCCCTTAAAGGGGTGAAAATGGGTACGAAAGTTTGTATTGGGAATTAAGCTAGGGAGGAACCCGAGTGAAGCGAGGGTGAGTCGCTAGTATTGAATAAAATATTTGAACTTGCAGCTAGAAGATGATAATTACAAGCCGCTGGACCCGGCCAAGATCCGCCTGCCGCCGCCCGCGCCGCCCAACGAGCGCCTACTGGCCGCAGTCGACGCGTTCTACGCCTCGCCCAACCACGAACGGCCGCGAGACAAGTACGATTTGTTCTTGTTTCTATTATTATTATATTTATATCACCTTTAAAATAACTCGGGTGCCTAAAATGGACAATGAAGTATGAGAACGGACATTTTTTTTTTCCACTTCAATTAAAAGTGATTATCATTTCTGACAGTGAACACATTTTTATTTGAATAAAAGTGGTAATACAGATTTCTATAAGTGAATGAATTTTCAGAAATCAATGATAGTAATTATAATAATAAAAAAATTGATTGTAGTAGTTTAAACCGGGAGTGATATTATAATTTTCTAATCACTACATATTACAAATTAAAGTTGAATTTGTGTTTGTTCAGACTAATGTCAAAATATACTCTACAGATTCCTATTTGGTTAATATAAATTGAAAATAGTATTTTTTTAAGAAGATTAAGCTATATAATAAAAAGTTCTGTATGATTAATAACTATGAAGAAAATTTTAAAAACTATTCTGTATTATACTATTTCTAATAAATATAAACTATTTTAGCGAGGGATGGGAGAAACTAGGATTATATGAATACTACAAAGCCAAGAACGCAGCTCGAAAGAATAAAGAGGATGCAATAGCTCAAGGAGTAAGAGAGAAGTCAAAATCACCGAGCCCTATACCTAAGGACCTGCAGAAAATGCCAACACCCCCTGGACGTAGATACAGGTAAAAAAATTTAATATATGCTGTATTTTAATTGATATTCAATTCTTATTTAATATCTAATAGTTTAGTATTATCATATATTTGATACTCGTTTTAGCTTGTGTCTACTCTCGCCTTATGTTGATAGGCTTTGTGTTAATTTTTAGCTAACGTTAAATATTTACAGTATCACATACATATAATAATTAATAGAAGATAGAATTGTCTAAATATTATTAGACTTAATTTACAAATGTTTTGATTATTTATTTTTTTCAGCTCTTGGATATAAAAGTGTGGATTTATAAAAATTAATCTTGTTTTTCATTTCAGGGGTTAAGTAAAAAACTATATGTTGTAATTCATGTTTACATGAAAATAATATTTAGAATTAATTATTGCTCTTGTTTGGTGTTGTGTTTAGTATCTAAGATCACAATTTCTTATTTAATGGCATTACAATTATTATTGTTTTCATAAGAGTCGTTTCCCATATTATTATTATATCATAATAGTGGCTTTCTCTCGCTCTGCTTGGTTCTAGCTGCCTGGCTGGCCTATGTGTGTGCTAAATTTTATCCAAAACCGTTTTAGCGTTAAGGAGCGTTTACATACACATACTAACATTCAACAGCACATGACGTATGTATTCAGCCCTTTTTAACGTAACATTTCTGGGCACGGACCTACCTCCAATACGAGGAGGATCAGGCCATATTCCACCACGCTGGCCAAGTGCGGGTTGGCGAACTTCACGTCTTTCGAAAACTTGTTAAGTTTTCTAAGACATGCAGGTTTCCTCACGATGTGTTCCATAAGTAATTCACATATATAATAATAAATATTATAAATGTGAAAGTTTGTGAGTATGGATATTTGTTACTCTTTCACGCCAGAACGGCTGAACGGATCTGGATAAAATTTGGCACAGAGATAGATAATAATCTGGAATAACACATATGCTACTTTTTATCCCGGAAAAATATACAGTTTCTGAGGGATAGATTTGTTTTTGTTTTCCTAGAGGCAAACCCGAGCGAAGCGATTGTGAGCCGCTAGTATATAACAATTATTAGTTGTCCGATTAATAAATAATATCTATGTGTGCCAGATCGCTGAGCAGGACACCTGAGCAGTCGCCAAGGAAGTCCAAGTCGCGGTCGCCCTCGCCGCGGCGCAAGACTGCGTGGAGGCGGGAACGCGATAGAGACAGTGAGTGATGACTGTTATATGTATGTATGTGTGTATAATGTATGTATTCAGGTCTTCGATCGCGCCCCACTGCTGGACACTGGTCTCCCTGCAATGCAAGGGGGATCAGGCTATAGTCCACCACGTTGGCCAAGTGCAAGTTGGCGCATATCTTTCGAAATTATGCTAGGTTTTCTCTGACATGCAGATTTCTTCACTATGATTTATTTCACCATAAGACAAACGGTAATTATGTTGGATTTGATTTGCACATGGAAATATCAGAAGTGCGACATACGGGTTGAACCCACTTCACTCGAACTTAAGGCATTGGTCTTAAATGTTACATATTAATATTTAATCCAATTTTACCAAAGTTTAATTAATAAAATTACATTAGCGACAGCAAGAGATTCGAAAAAAAGCGATCTTCTTAAAATAATTTGTTAAAACTTAATATATTACAATTTACTTATAGATAACTCGATTTGTTTTTTGTGTGTGTTGTGTGCAATGTGTTCGCCAATCGATTCGTAAATTGATTTTCATAATTATTTTTTAATAAACAGGTTGTATTTCATCAAGTATATCTAAATAACTTAAAATTTTACTTTAAGTCATCAAAGAAGTCGGGTACACCGACTCTTCGACATAAAGTAATTATTATTAACAATAAACTTAAGAAAAGACATTTTTTTATCGAGTAATTAAAGCATTTATCAGTATGTTTGTATGTTCTAATCGACATCTTTGTCTTCTTTCATAACAGGATTCAAACTTGCGAAACAATAAGAGTATCTAATAAGTAATGACTATTATTATTATATTTTATTGGGTGTGGTGCCGACTACGTCGACCTACGGTACTAGCTACGTCGACCAGTTATGGTCCATTGTAGCTCCCTTTAAAGTGAATTTAGAGTTCTCCGCTTAGTCCTGTTGACTCCACGAATTTCCAGATTTTCTGAGCGGGGAGCATCTGTATCTCTTCCGGTTGCATAATATGCTGCCCTAGATAGATACTTCTGCGGTGCATGAGTGGTCCGCACGGGCAGGGGATGTGCATGGCAGTTTCCTCTGTCTCATGGCATAGTCAAGTCATAGCAAGAAATGACTATCATCAGATTCATACCAGTTCCCACTATTTTGGGCAGAAATCTTGTACAATTTCAGTAAGGGTAACATTTTAAAAATAAAAATATACGTCAAACAAAATATATTTTTTAATAACACTCTTAGTGAATTTGAAAACTACATACTCATTTTAATTCCATTGTATTTTTCCAGTTGCATAAAAACTAGGCGTAACATAGCGAAAACGTACTTGAACTCGGTTCATTCGTATAATTTCTAGAGCCGTACAATATTATATTGTGTAACTTTTGTCATGTAAATTACACTCTTGACACGAGTGGTAAAAAGGTTTTTTCCTGCATTGTTTATTAAGCACATATAATTACACGTTTTTTTAAATCTTGATAATCGGCCATTGAACTAAAACTCGCATTTTTTCGGAGAATATAAGATAATTGCTTAAAAAGCATATCCTTATCTAAATACAATATTTGATCCAAATCCTTCGAGCATTTTCGGATATACAAGAAAAAAATATAATATACTAGCGACACACACTCGCTTCGCTCGGTTCGTCCCTACTTACTTTTTAAGGCTTAGTATAGATTTCTCAGAGATGAGATATTTTCCCGTAGTAAGTATCCTATTTGTTGACCCGGATAACCAGCTATCATCATACCAAATTTTATAAAAATCTATCAAGTGGTTTTCCTACGATGCGGTAACAGACAGACAAACAAAATTTCTAAAAACTATAGATTCGGCCTTTGTATCGATAATAAAGTCTATTTCAATAAGTTTTTAAAAAAAATATTTATTGTACAGATTCGGCTTCGTTACAATTTTATTATATGTATAGAAGACAAGAATTGCTCATTTAATATTACAGATTGACTGACACATGGATTAATGAACAACATTTGTCCCCCAAGCAGGTCGCAGAAGGTCCCGGTCGCGGTCGCGCTCGCGCTCCCGCAGCCGCTCCCGGGAGCGCGAGCGGGAGCGCCACCGCGACTCGCCGCGCTCGCGACGCGTCGAGCGCTCCCGCTCCCCGACGCCGCCCAGCTTCCTGTTAGATATGTTTATATACATACACACACACCTAATCGATTTTAGCCCCATAACGGGTTATTACACCAATCAGCTACAATAATCCATCCTTGCAGGATAGTCAGCCTGCACAGAGTACTATGATCTCTACATATTTTTTGCTTATTTGCACTAATATTTATAAATTAATTATTTGTAACACTTGCATTTATTTATAAATAAAGTAAAAAGTTCAATTCTTTTTGCACAATGAATACACAGTGATAATAATGTCCTCCTGACCGACTTCGGCCACGGCGGCCAATCTCACTGAGACTAGCCGGATGATGCGCAGGAGATATTATAGTGCACAAGTGACACAATTTGCACTATTTCTTTACATTTAAAGTCCGATGGAACGATACTTCAGACACTCGCGGTGAAAATTAAAGCGTAGGACCGACAGCTTTACGTGCACTCCGAGGCACGAGATTGGAACACGGCCAACTTCCCAACCCCGTCATACTGAGCATGTAACAAACTTAACAAATAAACTCCGTAATTAAACTTGGCCCGACCCGGGACCTGAACCCAGGATCTCTGGATCTGCAACATACATGCTAGCCACTAAATCACCGAGGTACTTCACAATGATTTATATTATACTAGCGACTCACCCTCGCTTCTCTCGGGTTCGTCCCTAGGTTGGTTCCCCATACAAACTTTCATCTCCATTTTCACCCCCTTAAGGGATGATTTCCGGGATAAAAGTGTCCTATGTCTCTTCCAGGGTCTCAAACTGTCTTCTTACCAATTTTCATCTAAATCGGTTCAGTAGATCCAGAGATTACCCCCCTACAACATCACAAACTTTACTCTCTTTATAATATTAGTATAGATTACACAATGATTATACAGTAGCGGCAGCACATACGCGAGCACGTCAGGCGGCATCGACGCGAGCAACAAGGGTCACCAGCTGCTGCAGAAGATGGGCTGGAGCCAGGGCGGGCTGGGCGCGGCCGGGCAGGGCATCGCCGAGCCCATCAGCGGGGGCGCCGTCAGGGACCGACATGATCAGTATAAAGGTATGCATGAACAAACATACACACACGTACATTCATTTATTTACCCCCTTTTTAATGTCCCACTGTAGACATGTGTCTCCCTTCAATACGAGGAGGATCAGGCCGTAGTCCACCACTCTTGCTAAGCGTGGTTTAGCAGCCTTTAGCTTCACATGTTTTTTCTCAATAAAAATACTTGGTCTTCAAAAGTTCTCCAAGGTCTTCTCCTATTTTGCTTTGCATTGACTGTTTAAAGATAGTATGTATGTACATTAAAAGGTTTGCTTGTAATCAATTAACTACTAAACCGATTTTAAAAATTCCGGTAATTTCCTTACAGACTTACAATAGTGATTTTTAACTCAAATGTAAATTCAATCAAAATAGCCAGAAGTCATTAAAATTCCAAAAATATGCAAACCTATGTAATTCTCATATTATCATAAATAATAATTCGTATTTTTGCACACAGGTGTTGGAGTAAATTTAAACGATCCCTATGAAAACTTCAGAAAGAACAAAGGTGCAGCATTTATTACGCGGATGAAAGAACGGGCGCTGGAGCGGTCGACGTGATCGCCAAAGACAAACCTAGATGTAAATGTGTACAATTGCGATTGTGTGAATGAGATATGATTTATTTTATCTAAATCATCTTGAATAATAAAATATATGAACTATAGTTCTTTTTTTTATTCCTTAATAGCCTTTCCTTTTGGCGTCATTGATCAGTAATCTGTCGTCATAAGACAGAAGGCCGTAACTAACAATTTGGTCAAAAATGACATATATGCAGATTCGGAATCAGCAAAAAAATGCTACTTGATAGTCTTACTCATAAAGCTCTAAGTCTTATGAATCCGGAGATACCATAACCATTTTATTCGTAACTACGTCAAAACTAGAACTAAGACAAAACTTTGGATATCTCGAAGTCAACTTATCTAAGTTACGGCTTTCTTTCTTATGACAGCAGTAATGTTGTAAATGTGAAAGTTTGTATATTGTTTGTAACTTTTTCATGCTAATTGGTAATGGTTCATCGGATATCGGTGAGATAAAAGATTATAAATAGCCTATATCCTGCCTAAACTATATTTCAATAGGCTACTTTACACTAAAAAGTGATTATATACTGACTTTAAAACTGTTCCACATTATAGAAATGTGTTTGTTACAGTTGCATGGGTACAAAATATATATACGTCATGTTTTTGTTACTTTATATTTTAGAAATTAATAAACATAGTTATTTAGAAGTTTTTGGACTACATTGAGTACCAAGGCAGTGAAAATATAAAAAATACTTGGCAGTCTTTAAAGTTCAAAATTATCTTCATAATTATCCTTAAACTCAGCTAGCCTATCTAAGCTTTCTTTGTAATCTGCATATTCAAGCCCCTCTTGTTGAAATTTATGCAATTTTGTAAATTTAATTCTGCTTACATCTCTGTGGAGTTTTTCAATCATGTCAGCCATAAAATTACCATTGTGCAAACCGGCTATCACAGGACAACTCTCTACCTTCATTGATTCATTTCCTTTTGTAACAAATCCATATTTATTTAGACTATCAGAGAAAAATGAGGGAAATGGTGTTTTCAATTCAAGAGCTTTTTCACACACAGTAACATTGGTTGCTGAAAGAAAGTTATTAGCTTGGAAATACAATTCAAACATTTCTTTAACATTATTACATCTATATGCTGGTATATTCATCTGCTCTTTTGCTTGTTTCAATGGTGCTTTTAAATATGATTCAGGTATACCTCTAACAGTTATAAGTTGAAATAATTTATCTGTTGCAATCTTACAGCTTGGTGTGATAGACTTATAAAGTGGTTTTGTGGTATTATTTAAATATTCAATAAGATATTCAGATTCATTAATAGCAAATGGCATTCCAAGTGACGCCGCTGCCATTTTTCTACCATATCCTGTCATGTCGGCACACATATCAGACATTGTATAGGTACTACCCTTATGTCTATATTTTTGACTTAATGTATCAATAGCGGATGCTAACAAGGCAGAAGTATGATAATATAGATCTGGCTTGTAACTAATATAATCAAATAATCTGGGATTTCCTGGTTTCCGCCAGCCTTTCTCACCAGTGCATAAGGGCACATACAGGTTAGCATACTGTGATAATTCCTCAATTGATAAAGCAATATTTACTAATCGACTTGAATCTTTTAAGGTAGATTTCTCTCTCTCATCTTCTGTAGTTGGGTTGTTGTCAGTAAAAAATGAAGGTATAATTGGATATGCTAATATACTTTTAGTGTATTCATCAGAAAGATGTTCAACACAACTTAAGGCAAGACCTGCGAATCCATCAGTGCAGTCAAAGTTTACTTGAAAACCCTGCATACTGTCACACTCCTCTACATATTTTCTGATTTTATCAGCAAATGAATCTCCAAAATATGATTTCCAAATCGACTGTCCAAACAAGTTTATTTCGAAATTTTCCTGAAAACAGAATACATTATTTTGAGTTAAATATTACAAAATATAAATTGGTAGCCATGATGTAGCATAAAATGAAACACTGTTTACAATACATACATTTTCATTTCCATGCTGATATTCATTGATTACATTGATGGTACGAGGATGAAATCTGGGATATAAATAGTCTGTCCATGTAGTAACATCTTGATCCAAATCGTATTGCTTATTTACAATTTCTGTGGCTTCAGAATCAATGTCTTGTAAAAAGTTATTCTTTTTGGCTTCAGGTTCAGCAATTTTTTCTACCACATTCCAAGGAACATTTTCTTCTGGATTTGATTCCTCAAAACCTCCACTTGTCTGTAGTGTCTTGAGAGAACCTTTTAAATCAACGAGAAGTAGGCGAGGGGTGTAAGTAACCTCACCATTAGCTGTCTGACCTTCCCGATATAAAACATCATGATTGCATTCAGTTTTTACTGTTCCAGTATAATCAAAACTTAGTTCCTGTATGTTCCAGAAGTGTGCTCCTACGTAATTTGCATAGTGACCAAATTGAAGCGTTACTATCTCTCGAGTGGTCATAGTTATAAATTATGATTTACTTTTCTATAATATAGAAAATTCATGTATGTTAGAAAGTTTGAAGAAAACTACGTTGTAACGAGTTAGTGTAAAATTTTTTTTCGTAAATGCTGTCTTCTTTTTCCAAAAGAAAAGTTAATGATTTACAGTAAAGTATAAACACTATTGTTTGATCATTTACATTACAAAAATTATTTAAAATAGCATTTCTTTAAAGTTTTTGATTACAAACAATTACAAATCAATACCAACATGCTAGATGTGCATTAACAAAGTGACATGTGACAGATCTCTACATTCCAATTTCCTAAATTCAGTTTAAACTTTTATTAAATATAATCCATATCGTAATTATTATTCATCTACATTATCATGGAGGGTCCTCATTTTGTTTATATTATAGCGGTTATTGACATTAACGTATACATTGTAGCGACTCACCCTCGCTCCGCTCGGGTTCATACTTAGTTACGTTTTAACGTTTAGTATAGATTTCTCAGAGAGGAGATATTTTCTCGCAATAAAAAATATCCTGTATGTTGATCCGGATAACCAGATACCAAATTTCATCAAAATCTATCCAGTGGTTTTCTCGTGATACGGTCATAGACAGACAAAAATTCTAATAACTATAGATTCGGCCTCTGTATCGATATTCGATATTATTGACTACTAGCGACTTACTCTCGCTTCGCTCGGGTTCGTCCCTACTTAAGTACTTATATTTTCACGTTTAGTATGGATTTCTTGGAGATGAGATATTTTCCCACAGTAAAGAGTATCTTATATTTTTCGTGATGCGACCACAGACAGACAGACAAAAATTCTACAAACTTTGGATTCGGCCTCTGTATCGATAATAATGACTATTTTAATAAGATTTACCAAAAAATGTTTAATGTACAAATTCGACTCAGAATTTTATTATATGTATAGATAGCTTTAGGTACTTTGTATTTTTTTTCTCTATCTGACCAAGATGCATTTGGGAAGCGCCGTACCTTGGTGGGCTGAAACTTTGAAAGTGAGATGTAAATGACACGAGAGAACAACAGCCTGGTTATTGTGACGGAGCGGACTACTCTAATTATATTATCTGGATCCTCTGATGTCGCTATTAGCGTAAAGTTACCTTAGGTTTTACCCATGGACAACAAATAAAGGTTTTACTTATTGTCTCGTCTTCTACTCTATACTATTTTTACTTTAAGAGTTCTGCTAAAATTACCAAAATAATTTTCAATAAGCTTACTACTACGGTTCAAAAGATACAGCGCTTTAAATTTAGTAATAATAGTAATTAGTAGTCTGGACTTCGAATATTTAATACTAAACCTTATAATAATCCTTACAGCATGCAGCCGATTCAGATTTTGCAGCAATCCCCTGTAAATAATAATGTCCTCCTAACCGATTTTGGTTACGGCGGCTATTAACCTCAAGAAACTAGTCAGCTTCGGAAGAGATAATAGATATACATAGTTGTGTGCATAGATAGTGCACTCTCTGTTCTTTTAATTCTCATACTCCAGTGGACTGTGGATCAACTCGACACGACCTATGACATAAGGTGTGGGTTCGACGTTGTACGGTCATACTAGCAACTAGATCAAAAAGGGCAGTTATTAAGGTATCCTCCACAAGAAAAAAATCATAAAAAAAGATAAGGAAAAATAGTACGTTGAGAAAAAACACGATACATATTCATTTCATTTTTATTACCAAAAAATTATTAAAAATCATTCAACTTAGCTTGTTTGTCTAATTCTACTAAACTAAACTATCCTCTACCCTTAGATGTTAAGCTTACATATATAATATGGATGTTGAAATACTGGCAGTGGAAAAATACATTTCTTGTTTATGGTACATAGCTATTAAGACTACTTGGCTATTGTGAACATTATGGGCATTAAGTTACAAACGTATTATTTACCTTATAGCAAAACACTACAATATTACTATTACTTATACATATCTTAGCACTTAATTTCATATTAAAGCGTTAGTAAATTATAAGCAAGGTTTCTAAGTAGACCACTAATGTAAGAAATTATTTACAAAATTGCACACTATATGGAAATCTATTTATTCGACTTTGTATGAGAAGTACATAATATGTGTACAAAAGTCTATATCGTGCACTTATATATTAGTACTCCTTCGAGTACCGAATTCTACTGACAGTCAACTTCAACATTCCATTCCAACAAACCACACATAGCCTTGCAGCCATAAAATCTACTGAATACTTCACTCAAACCATATTTTTTATTATTAGAAATTTTTTTACTTTCACTAAGTTCCATACAAACACTACTAATTGTTCCTAACTTTCAACTTAGTAACTTTATTTTAAAGTGCGTATATGCCTTTAGAAAAATGTACAAGCATTCTGTTTTGGTGACTGATCGAAGAATTCATTTTTATCGTAACTTTAATTTGAACAACAAAATACAATGTCTGCAAACTTCCAAATCCAAAAATTCATTAAACAAATTATTGTGAACAATAACCATATCACAGTTTAATTTAATCTATATTTCTGGAGAATGCACTCATTTTCAATATTTTATTTTAATTTTACCAATTGATTTTTGAAGATTGGTTATTACATTACCTATAATGCAATTCATATATAATTTTTTTGCAATTCATATATAATTTTTTCAAGTAATTCATTCAAAGCATACATAAACACAAAACGAACCTGACTCCGCGTAGGGTATCTTACTTTGGACAGAACTAATTCACAACCTATTATTCTAGTACACTTTACCAAATGTCTAAAAACTAGAAGTTGACGTTACCATCATGATGAACACACCGTTCTTAATAGGGAATATGCGCGTGATAGATACATGATAAAGGTGAAATATTTTTTTATAATCTTTATTGCTTTTGAATTAAGCCTATATTAATATTTTTTAATGTCATTTATTTTTGACTGATTAAATAATTATTAAGAAGTGCAAATATAGATGAAAAATTCAAAGTAGTTGAAACGAACGCCATTGGTAAGACCGAATGTGACGTCAGATTATATCATAACAGAGTCAAAGTTTTAGCGACAAAATTGCTAAGCTGGCAACACTGGCTCTGTTATAGACTGTGACGTCACACCAAGTGTGCGAAATGGGGGGCGTTTAAAATATCCGTATCGGTATGATATTTAAAAAAAAATATACAAAATTTTAGTTTTTTGGAGCTGGATATTTTTTTACAATTATATAACGATGTACGTATTGTATACAAATAAAAAAAAAACACGCACATTTCCTATTACAATTTAAGTTAACAAAAGGTACTCCACGATAATAGAGTACTTAAGAGACATAATTAAATTCTTAAATGTATACATATAACATAGTTTTGCTAGTCTTTCAAATATACGAATGAGGGAATACGATTTGCCATACGAAAAATTTGTATCTACTTATAATTATACAATTTAGAAAATTCGTTTTAGAAATTATTGAAGTAAAACTTCTTTAGGGGTGAGTGAGGGGTAAGTCAGTACATTGGAAAAATGAGTGTCTCGGAAGTGAGCGTCAAATTTATTTTTAATAATTATAATATATTGTATATTTTGATTTGTTTTAATTTAATCTGCCACAGCACCAAACAAGTTTTACTTCACGTACGTAAAGGAACGCACTCATTTTTTAAGTTCTTAGCATTAAAACTGATTACATATTAAAAATACTTAATAGCTTTACGATATAGTTAGTGAGAAATAATAGTTTTGCAAATTTAATTACCAATAACACAAGACAAAAGACATTTTACTTATATTACTAGGAAGCTTTCCCATAACGTTTGTATCACTAATGAAACAAATAATGCACCATTTCGACAATTATTTCTTATATTACAAAATACTAAACTAAAGCCTAACAGAAGATAATTAACAGTATGGGAAAGCTTCATACATAACTATGTACAAATTAATTCTAAGCCCTCCATCAAATTAGTTAATTCAGCCAAACACTTTTAATTATAATTTAAATTATTGAGATCTATTTTATTCATACAATAAAATTGAATTACATGATTTCAATATACCGACACATTTCCTTATAATGTAAATTTATATTACTTATTTTTATTGCGAATATAAAAAAAACATTTGAAAGTTACAAAATATAATTATAGGCTCAGAATCAATTTGTGAAAAAAATTAGAGAAAAAGCTGCCAGCGTCAACATATAAAATGCACACAATAAAATAAATATGTACATACAAGCGGTGGGAACTTCATTAATATACCCGCTACAATTCTTGCTGCTATATTCATAATTTTATTAAAACACGTCAATATCAACGTTAATAAAAAAAACTTATGAGTAGAGCAGCAAAATACACGTTTTGTACTGAGATTATGGTTGCAACCATTTAAACTATATAAAAACGATCATTTCGAGACAAATAAGAAACAAAAATTATATATACTGTGTGGTGCTTAACAATATAAAATGTACAGTGTACGATATGTAACGAGTGTTTAGTCGTAAATACACTTATCTGGTACTTAAGGGCCTTTCATTAATTACGTAAGGACATTTTTGACCCCCAACCTACCCCCATGTCAGAGCACATAAGATTTCCCGTACTCCCCCTCTCCCTACATACGTAAGATTTTATCTTATTTAAGAAAAGGATCAATTGCCCTAAAACTCATAATTTGACGTGAATCAAAGATTTTTAATTTTGAAATTGTATATTAAAAAAGAGAAAATAGATCTCAGAGGTGTTTTTCCCATCGCTCAGCTCTGAAATATTCATCATCCCTATTTAAAAACTCCAATAGGATCCCATCAAAAGCTATTGGAGTTTTTCAACAGGGATCTACTCGTATTAGGAATCGCACATTTCGACTTATAAAATATTACGTAAGAATGGCTTTTACCCTTCCTCCCGAGATAAGGACGTGTAGAAATTTTGAGAACCCCCATATATGACCCTTACGTAATAATGAATGGCCCCTTATCACGTCCCTACAGCACAGTGCTAGCGTTCTCGCACCGTCGCGTCGGTCGGGGAGTCGCTAACTTCAACTATTCATTACAATTATTATTGCTAATTCATATTCTAATTAAATGCGTATTTCTTAATAACAAAAATTAAGTTAATTATTTTGCCATATTCTTGATTTAGAAACAATAATGTTTTTCCTTATATTGCTTGTTCCTGAATAATATATTAACTCGATGCCTAGTTCGAAGCGAACCATAGACAAGTTTCATTATTATAAATACAGAATAACTATGACGTGTAAAAGGCATTGAGTAATATTATATTATTATGGAAGTAAAATTCAATGATAAATAAACATTCTCTATTAATATTTGACAGTGGTAGCGCACTCGCTTGAGAAACCGAGTGAAGCGGGTTCAAATCCCGGATCTCGCACCTCTGATATGTGCGAATCATTTTCAACATTATTACCATTTGCCTTATGGTGAAGGAAAACATCGCGAGGAAACCTGCATGTCTGAGATAACCTATCAAGTTTTCAAAAGACATGTGAAGTCCGCCAACCCTCACTTGGCCAGCGTGGTGGACTATGGCCTGATCCCCTTCATATTAAATGGAGGCCCGTGTTCAACATTAAAAAGGGATAAATTCACATACATACATTTTCTATCAAATCATAGAAGTTGATGTTAGCAACTCTTAACTTAGCCGACTTGTTATTTAACCGAACTTAATGTTCTTTTCATGACATTTTTTTTCTTACTTCAAGAAAATATGTTTAATTTTATGTGTTTTATATTTTGATCACAATGAATATTAGACTAAGGCGACTCTATTGACAAGTGGAGTTTTCCGCCTGCTCGTGTGGGTTTGAGATGTCACTGGTTGGTATATGAAACTGGTTTTCGCCCTTTTCGCTGGATGGACTGAAAAAAAAAGTATTTATCTATACTAATATTATAAAGAGATAAAGTTTGTGAGTTTGTTACGAGTTTGAGATATTGTAGGGACTAATCTCTGGATCTACTGAACCGATTTAGATGAAATTTGGTAAGAAGACAGTTTGAGACCCTGGGAAGGACATAGGAAGGACATTTTTATCCCGGAAATCATCCCTTAAGGGGGGGAAAATGGGGATGAAAGTTTGTATGTGGAATCAACCTAGGGACGAACCCGAGCGAAGTGAGAATGAATTGCTAGTATCTAATAAAGCAAAGTTCACGTGTAATGGTTATGGCGGAACAAAAGCGTATGAGTTACTGAGCCAATAAAACCATTACTAATTTTTAGAAAGGATGTTCAGTTAATTAAGTCAAAGAAGTAATTAAATATTATAATTCAGTAAACAGGTGTAGGAGTAAACTCGATAAAACTATTTGCATAAATAAAATCGAAGTACAAAATATTGTTATGTTTTAATTAATTAACTTTAATAAAAATCGATCAAGGGCGAGTCGATTCGTACACGAAGGGTTCCGTACAATCGTACATATAATTTTTATTAATATGAATTTTACTCTTTGTGTAGTATATTAACTTTGATGATCAATTACGAACGTAAAATGTTTCACGTAATTTTATTTTTATTATTTGTTGTTATAGCGGCAATAGAAACACATACTTTTTGAAAATTCAAATTCTCTACCTATTACAATTTATGAGATACGGACTTCTGACAGACAGACGGACGGATGGACGGACAACGAAGGTGTACTAATAGGGTTCCGTTGGCACCTTTCGGGTACGGAACCCTACAAACGATTAGTAAAATCTGCTTTACATAATAGATAAAAATTATGTTCGCTATAGAAATTTCAACGTTACGCACACTACACTGCATTATAATTAAATTAGTTGTGTGGATTCGAACCTGTTCGATTAATTATTTTTATCTTGGCCGAACGTTTTAGAACTTATTGAAAAAAAAAATGAATATTTCAATAAGTAACTAGTTTCCTTAATAGTTCGCTGATTTATTTTGATTCTTGGTTCCCGACATTTTGAATGCTCTCCCGTGACCATGATTGCTGTGAACATTCGAAACTTCGGGAACCAAAAATCTAAATAAATCCGCGAAAAAATAGTTTTATTTAAAATGTCAAATATTCGCGTAAACCTAAGTATTCTCTATTCAGCGTAGTAGCGGCGTAGCTAAACTAATTAACAGTCTTGAATCTCGAATGGAATTAATTTACTACACATTTACATGGAAAAATTATTAAATTTTTTCATTAGAATATCATTTTATCTATAATTTAATAAATATTTCAATTTTTAATGAAGTAATCTTTTAACACGTAATACTTACTCGTATAGTTTTCTGTAAGAGATAAGTCGAATTTGACCGGTTTTGTGACGTCAATGTCGATCTCTTCGTACGACTGATCCAATACCTATGTGCATAAAAGTTTAAAACATTAGTTACTTTTCAAACACTAAATAAAACAATAATAATAATTATAAAAAGACTAGCGGCTCACTCTCGCTTAGATGGGTTGTTCGCCTCTAAAACAAAAACTAATCTATCCCACGGGAACTGTACATTTTTCCGGGAAAAAGTAGCCTTTGCCTATTCCAGACTATAATTTCTCTCTGTGCGAATAATTTCATTCAGATCCGTTCAGTCGTTCTGGCTTCATTGACTAACAAACATCCATCCAAATATCCAAATTTTCACATTTATAACATTAATATAGAAAATACCCTAAGTGTTTCTTTTATATAAATATACTAATAATAATAATAATTATCATTTAATTGGAGAAAAATAGAAAATACATTTAATAAAAAGGCAGTGTTGATAAAATTGAATATTGAATGTTTATAGATTTGTAGGAGATATTTGAGTTTGTCAACTTTTTGAAAAAAAAAAAACAGATTTTTAACACAGAGTATGTTCCTAACTATGCTTAGTTATAATTTAAAAACATAACTCAAGTAAAGGTTTTATTTAAATATAAAAACTTTTTAACAAAAAATAAAACCGACTTCAAACAAAAGCACTAAAAAGTAAAAAATAACTAATTGGTCGTTTTCATTTACTATACATACCTAATCAAATATTTTCGAAGTCGGTGTGCTTTGCTTTGTATGGGCTGGCACCGATTTCGAAAATATTTGATTAGGTATGTATTTAATAGGTAGACTTTAATTACTTAGCCAAAGCACTACTATGTATGTAAATGATAGTAGTAGCAAAGTAAGAATTCTAACGGCTTGTCAAATCAAACAAAATAAACCGAAACTCAAAGTATCTACTATTAGCCGTTGAAGAGTTCCACCTATCCACCTTCTGGCTTTACCGTCAGATCAGGTCAACAATACCGAACCACTGTACTATCAACGGAAATAGAAACACTTGCAAAGTTTCAAGTCAATATGACAATTAGAAGTAGGTTAAATTCATCATTAGCTATTTTTCCACCCTTAGGGGTGGTATTTTTTTTCGAAATTTAAATGGGACCAATCTGGAAGTATATACTTTCAAACAACACAAAAATTGACCAAATCGGTTAATAAATGACGGAGTTCTGAGGTAACAAACATTAAAAAAAAATACAGTCGAATTGAGAACCTCCTCCTTTTTGAAGTCGGTTGAAAATAAAGCTCGAATTCTACATTTTATGTACTATCCTTATATGTACAATTATTCTGTACATGGTGTGTGTCACTGAACTCCTCATAAACCGCTGGACCGATTTTGATGAAATTTGCTGTGTCTTTGAGCTGTTTAAGATTCGCATTTGGACTCGGTAGGTGGCGGTGCAATAGGGTTCCAGGAATATTTTTTCTTTATATTTCATTTTTTGGATATAAAAACATTAAGAACGTTCATAGAGGACAACGTCTGTTGGGTCCGCTAGTACACTATAAAGTTTAGCAAGATTAACAATATGGACAAACAGATAGCCAAACAGTAACATACCTCAATATCGCTCACATCGTCGCCAGACTCTATATCAGTGATGTATGAGGTGAGAGCCGAAGTGCCTGTTGCTAGTAAACGGTAAGTGCCTCCCACCATTCCTGTGCCTTCTACTTCTTCCACTTCTAACTCTTGATCTGACACCTCCTAGGAAAAAAGACATATAAAATTATTATAAATTTATAATTTTCCTTCAACCCCTTTTTAACGTCCTACTGCTGGACACGGGTTTACCAATACGAGGAGGATCAAGCCTTAGTCCACCACGCTGGCCAAATAAGGGGTGATCTTACATGCCTTTCAAAAACTTGCTAGGTTCTCTCAAACATGCAGGTTTTCTCACGATGTTTTCCTTCATCGTATGACAAGTGGTAATAATGTTGGAAATGATTCGCACATGAAAATATCAGAGGTGTGAGACCCGGGATTTTAACCAGCTCCACTTGATTTTCTAAGCGAGCGTGCCATCACTGGTTTACCACTAGTAAGACAAAAAAAACATTTATTTAATACATAAAACATTATTATAATTTAAGTTGTAGGTAGTTTAGCAAAACTGTATCTTATATATGTATCATAAAGTTTGGACATTCATAAATTCGACATAATTTAAACCTGTGCCGTCTTTTATCTTGAAACAATGGAATAACATAATAATGTATATACACATATAAGTAGTAAAATTATGTATTTTTTTTTTGTGGTGAATTGTAATAAATATTTAAATTTATCAATTCTTTGTTCAAAATTAAATAATATTCCAATGATACTACGTGTAGACTTAGTGCAGACACTATAAAATTATAAAACAGCCATTTAATTTCAGGAAAAACATCAAATGTTAAGCAACAAAAACTATAATATTATGACATCATACTTAAAAGTGACTTCATGTTATCGCAAAATTAACGGATTTAAGATAAGTGTTTAAAATTAACATACAAATATAAAAGACTAATTTAGGATCTCTGATATATCCACAAAAAAATAAAATTATATAAAGTCACAAAATAAGTATCAGATTTTGAAATAAGTACTCCGAGCTAATTCTCTAAATGAAATAGTTATTAGTTATTACACTACTTATCATTATTATTATACACTAGCGACTCACCCTCGCTTCGCTGAGGTTCGTTCCTATGTACGTTTTGACGCTTAAGTATGGAATAGATTTTTATTCTTTTTTTTTCGATATTTTAATAGTTATTCTGCTATTCGGGGTGAACACAAATTTAACAAAACAAATATCATAAAAATCTCGTAACAAGCCCGACTTTGTCTGTACATATAATATGAAGTCGGTTAAAAATAGTAACTAAGCCGAATCTGTACATTAAATATTTTTTGGAAAATCTTATTGAAATAGACATTATTATCGATACAGAGGCCCAATCTTGTTTTTAGAATTTTTGTCTGTATGTCTGTTACCGCATCACGGAAAAACCACTGGAGGGATTTTGATGAAATTTGGTATGATGATAGCTGGTTATCCAGGTCAACATATAGGATACTTTTTATTGCGGGAAAATATCTCATCTCTGAGAAATCTATACTAAATATTAAAACGTAAGTAGGGACGAACCCGAGCGGAGCGAGGGTGAGTCGCTAGTTTCATATATATATATATATATATATTAGTAGGCATACTGTATATCAATGTACATTATTTTATGAAATAAAATATTTATGATTAATTAAAAAAATATGTATATAACTCTTTATTGCGAATGCTTAAGTGATATGGATCCCCAAAAACAAAAAAAAAGAGATTAGCACAATTGACATTATGGCTTGACATTGAACATTAGCTATCGTATTTGCTTGCATTCTCAAGGGGTCACTCACAGAGGATACAAACGCATACGGCTCAATGTCAACTACTTATCCCACACACAGCAGTAAATTTAAAAACAAGTATTTTAGTGCGATTTTATTATTTGTTAATAATTAAAAAAGAAAAAACGCGCTTGTACACGTGACTTGCAGTATCTAAGTCTTTAATTCTGTAAATTATACAAATATTGAGCTGATTTGATTCGTCTGAAAGATCCATATATTATAATTAGCTAAAAGTATTTTTTTTAAGAAACTATTTTAAATACCGGAATTTGAACTAAACTTTTAATCCCCATATTTTCTATTCTCGTCGTGATCCATTTTTAAATTCTTCTATACCGCCCTGTACTTTTGTAAAATACGTTTTATTATGAAAATAATAAAAGTAAAATTATATCAACATTATCATTTTTATGTGAGCGAAGGTTAAACAGTTAGTAGTTGAACAAACAATTTAAGCATCTCCTATTATATTACATGTAATATTTCAACAATTATTAGCCTTATATAATTCTTTGGCGGAATTATGTAAAAAATCTAAATCTATAAATATTTTTAAAAAAAGCTTGAAAAATTACATTTTAATGTGACAATTGCACATCACAATCTTAAAGTTTTTGACATTGTAGGGAGTAATCTATGGATCTACTGAACCGATTTAGATGAAATTTGGTAAGAAGATAGTTTGAGATCCTGGGAAGGACATAGGATACTTTCTATCCCGGAAATCATCCTTTAAGAGGGTGAAAATGGGCATGAAAGGTTGTATTGGGAAGCAAGCTATGAACAATCTCCACCTGCTCAATGACAGTTTCCTCCTCGACCTCGTCCTTGACCTCGGGGTCTATCTCGAAGTCTGCGTCCTCGACGTCCGCGTCCGCGTCCGCCTCGTCGTCCACCTCGTTGTCGCTGCCGAACCCGCTGTACTTCATCTCGCCGCGCTCCAATGCTTCGAGGCTTTCTGGAATGTTCGAGTTTAACTTGTTACTTGCCTATGTACTTGCATGCTGCACTATGCATGCTATATGGATTGTATACTGTAGCACAGTATACAATCTATATAGCAGGTGTACCGTTGATTTAAAAAAAAATTGTTAAAAAAACCGGCTAAGTGCGAGTCGGACTCGCGCACGAAGGGTTCCGTACCATTATCTATAAAAACGGCGAAAGAATCATGTCTGTTGTATGGGAGCCCCCTTAAATATTTATTTTATTCTTTTTTTAGTATTTGTTGTTATAGCGGCAATAAAAATACATCATCTGTGTAAATTTCAACTCTTAACTATCACGGTTCATGAGATACAGCCTGGTGACAGACGGATAGACATATAGACGGACGGACAGCGGAGTTTTAGTAATAGGGTCCTATTTTACCCTTTGGGCACGGAACCATAAAAATATCTATTTTCAACCAAACCACAACACCACCAAACCAGATCAAGCAATATTTTCGAAGTTTAAGCACTATAGTGGCATCTTTTAGTATGTTAGCTATACCCATTAACCCTAAAGCAACTGCCATACAAAAGTAAATATGACAGTCGGGTGCGCCTCATCTTCACCTCAAATCGCACTATTTCCCTGTATAGACTTCGTTAGACGTCTATATGGATTATCTATCTTTTTTGTTAGTTGGGCAGTAGGACACCACGACTTGATATTCTAAAAATTACCTGGATAAATCATTGCTTTCTTGATAGCTTGTGGATCTTTTCTGGACCATTTTTGAACTTCTTCGTCCATTTTGCCAACTTTCGACGGATTCATAGCCCATAAGCAACCTGTAATTGAAATAACAATTTATTTCTATTTGTTACTCAGTGCCATTGTCCAGACATTTTTGAATCCGATAATTAATACTTTCATATAAAATTACTTAATTATAAAAATTTAGTCTTTTCTTACAATTTTAGCTTAATCTTGAAATACCTAATCTAATGCCTACTAATGACTTATTACTGCCTGTAGATTATTTTCTAAAAACCACCTAATTAAATCTGTATTTTTAAGAATATACATTAATTTTTTCTCGACTTTAAAAAAATAATTGTCTTACCCTTTCTTTGACTTCCATTTGTTGAAGGTTTTTCTATTTTTTCAAAACATTTATTTAGACTAAGATTGTGTCGTACAGAATTTTTCCATCCATTTGGCGCTGTTTTGAAGTACGGGAAGTGTTGGCTGAAATAATAAAGGATTTTTAAGACAATAATATTATTAACATATATTGCCAAGAATAACAATTAAAATACACAATTAGCTACATTTTATGAAGGTATTACATATCATGTTTACAAAGTAAAAAAGTTTATCTTATAACATACGACGACATAACGAAAAAACAACGTACCACATGAAATTGTAAATTTCCGAGACCGGTAAGCTTCCTGTCCTGGAGTTCTTTAGCGCCATTGCTATCAGGCAGGAATAGGAATAGGCCGGTTTCGGGAATTCCCCCGCCACCGCTTTGCTATTCACATACTTCCCTTGACTCGTGTCCACAGTGAAGGCCCCACTCACCGCGGTCTTTATTATTTGCCTACTATTATTTAAAGACGAGTTGTCTATCAAGATGGTCGCTTGATTTTTGTTACCATTACCTAAAATTGTCCTAGATTGTTGCGCATCCAATATGTGTATATTACCCGATATAATGGTCTTCGTTCCTAGCGATTGTGTTATTTTTTGGCTATTTAGAATTGAACAGTTTTTATTATTAACTTTCAATATTTCCGGTTGACTCGCTTTTATTCGAACTGTTGGTGTTATCGTTGGTGTTATATTCTTAGTTTTACTAGTGTCTAAATCTTTTAACAAGTCTTTTACTACAGTTTTGTCTTGCTTTCTGACATATATAACCATTTGCGTGGTTTCCTCTGATTTCTTAGGCGGTGGTTCTTCGGGTTCCTGAACTTTTGAAACTTTTATTGTATTCGGGGAAAACGTTAAGTGACTTTTTTCCTCCTTTGGACTGGATAGAGATGTACTGTTATTGAGATCATTGTTGGCAGCTGATGTTAATAAAAGGTTAGATGCTTCCTCTTTGACGATACTTTTGACTGGTGTTTCGGCAAAGGATGAAGGCATAACCGAGTTCGGATTAACCATAACAGCGTTCGCTTCTGACCCGTATAAATCGAGATTATGTACAAAACTGGAAGAGGAGTTATTGAGCCAGGTTACCGAATTATCTGTATCCATATCCAATAACGGTGGCATTTCTGAAAAATTTAATCCTAACGAGTCCTGAAATTAAAAATAATAATTATAATATATTTTATAAATTTATGTATTTATTTTTTAGCAAAATCAGGAATACTAACGGAAAAGTCTGTTATGCTGCTTAAATCTGTTGCTATTTCATTTTTGATGTCCATGTCCAGCATGTCCTGGAGTGAATCGGTTATGTACAAATCCATGTCTAAGCACGCCTATAACAAAAATAAATGTTAATAATGGCATCAACTGATAGTAAAATAGATGTAAAACTTTCGCGCCATTTTTTGTTTCAAAAACAGCAAACATTTTTTCGTGATGGAAGGAAGACGGGAATGTATTCCTATACTCTATAGTGAAACCTGTTTTCATCTCTTGGTATGCGCGCCTTAGCAATGAAAGAGTAAGAGTCTATATTTATACTGCTGTCTCGTTTGTTCTCATTTAAAGGACATGAAATGTAAACTCCGTAAATGGACTAATATTATTTTGTAAAACTGATCAGAAACTATGTCTCATTTGTCATATAACTGTAATTGATACAGTCCTAGTTTAGAAATTAGAATGCAATATTTCTTATATACTTTGTAGGTGATAATAATAGTTAACTACTATAAAGTAGTACTTGTACGTTTTTTTGTCAGTACATAACATAATTTCGTAGACCTACACCAACAAAATATTTGTTGTGAAGGCGAGGCCGGACAGGATGGCTTGTTCTACTACCTAGTGAGTGTACAAAAAAACCTTCATGGAGTTGTACATCGGAAGGCTTCCAAGTTTCGGGACCACATTTTTTGTCGAAACTATCGCTGCTATAAATAAACATCTTATTCCGTTACCGAGTGTTCGTGGTAAAAAACCTATATATGGACAGACTGTGAATAACTTCTTTCTAAAAGTACATAATTTTGATGAAAAAGTAAACATTAAATATCACGCTTATAGTCCAAAATCGCAATAACTTATCCGCCATCATATCCATATTTAAAAATCCACAATTCACGTACTCCTTTGTTTGAAACTCGTATTGTCTACAAAATAAATGTTTTAAAGTCGTCACAACGTCATTATCCTTTTTTACAAAGAATTGAACAATAAAAGAAGCCAAAGGAATGACTATATAGTTAAGGAATAAAGGTAGCAGAGCATGAAATAAAATTCATGGGAAAGAACGGAATCGGCAGATGTTATTTTATCGCCTTGCTATAACATTGTAGTTCACACTATACGATTGAATTGACTTCAATAAACGATGTGCAACTCTTATTCAATAAATTATCTCTCGTTAGTTTTGTCGTCTGATGATCTAATAATACATACCATTTATTGACTCTACTTATAGTTATTTTCACATTACATGGTTGTTAACGAATTGATATTTTGAATTAAGTTTTATTTTTTAATTAAAAAAACGATAATAGAGCCAATCGAATAATAAATTTTCTTTCGAAAAAAAACTTAACAGCATCAAAATTACTACGTGAAAAACTTTAAAATATCTAGTCATATAGTGGATTTACAATTGCCTGTTGTTAAATGAAAAAATAAACGTGTACTAATTCCTGTGCCATTGTATTATTGTTATTAATATATATGCTTTGAGCTCAGTAAGAGATGATAATCTTAAAAAATATAGAGCGACTTGATTTACATAAAAATGGATAGTGTTCTCAATACTCATTTTATAATAAACTTAATTTTATATACAAAATATTATTCTGAATGCGAAATGAGTGCACTGACAGATAAGAGAAAACGTGTTTATGATATCTTTAACCAATCGGTAACAAAGTTTACAGTTTTTTTTTCATTTACTTTCTACTAATCGCTATCATACATTTGATTGATAAAAAATTCTATTTACATTTCTAGCTGCAGGAAATCACTCATGTCAAGATTTTCTGCGTCACATATAATTTTGGGTTATATATTTTATCAAATCAGCAAGAGAGAAACTCTAAAGTGGGGTGGCAGACAGAGATGGGTATAGGAGATCGAAAGAGGGTGAATCGACCCCTAATGACATCGCAGCCGCCATACCGCGCCCTTTGAGCTAACGAAAGGCTGCCTGCTGATATTTTTGTTGGTTCACGCGTTGAAATAAATATGAAAATTTTAATTCAATAACTTTACTTTGTTTATAATATAGAGTGAGATGCTTATTTATATATTTACGTACATACAATTTTTAAACAAATTTAAAATATTTCTCTTATGAAGGCAAATGAATAGAGCTCAGAATCCATGTCATGAGACCTCCATTATATTTATTCACTGTTTTTATGTTAAAGTGTTTCACGGGCCGAAAATGTCTGTAGATCCGTCTCGGCAGTACTGAGTAGAGCCATGCCACAGAGGGCCATGAACTCGCTCTTTATTACTTAGAGTTCATCTCGCTTACGTGCGATATGAAATAGGAACTATTAAAAGATATTTCTGAACTGCTTTTCATCTTACGAGCACTTAGATAACCCGGTTGACTCTCTAATACATTCAGATTTTTTTCAAGTATAGTATAATTAGAACGAATAAAATTCAGTCTGTAAAATAATATACCTACCCTTTTTTATTATACTTAATTTATAACTTACGGTTAGTAGGTTGGCATTTAATAACACCACAAAAAATTAACAAGGAAACACCGTCTGAAGTCTACGACATTCAATAAACGTGTTTTGCATGGCATGAATGAATTTTATCAGCAAAATTACAACAAATTTTGTAAAAGAATGCGATGTGTGATAAAGACAACCAAAGTTCGTTATTATTTAAATACCGGAAAAGATGATATTATACGGAGTGTAAGTTTTAAAATTGGCTCACATTTTAAATGTTATTTTATGTTCAGAAAAAATGTTTTGTGAAGGAGCAGGTAGTCGGCAACGGCAAAATCCAACCGTTTTTAGATCCTGCCCGTATTATTTATCTTGTAACAAAAGCGAGTTGAGTTTCATAAGTCAATATTTTTAAGTTGTTTAAGCTTCTACTGCTTTGTACCTCTTTCGGTTTATTTAGCAAAATATGTCAAGAAATAATTTCAGCAAAGGATAGTGGGGCCATAGAGGCGCCGTGAGGGGCCGCCTAGTGTCCTCGAACCTGACCGCGCGCGATCGCCTTGAACTCGCCGTAGTCTGCTTGTACAAATTACCTTACGTCTACGCTGGCGGCCAGTATTACCACGAAAAATTGAAAAATACTACTTAATCTAAGATAAATTTAATACAAAAATTCGCACCGATTCATTAATATATTAAAATTAAAGTTGCTTTCATCTGGCTTTATTTCCTCAGTACCTTCCCAGTATCTTATTTTTATTAATGTTGTCATATTTATTAGTTAGTACTTTTGGAGTTTTTCTTTAGTCGTTACAGTCACTAAGAAGTTTTAATATAAATATATGAGGAAAATTCTATAAAGTTGCTTGGCGCGAAAATAATTTAGATGAATTTTTCTGCGCGCGCAGTGTTGGGATAAAATAGGAGTGGTTCCGTATTGATTGTATGTGCGGCGCAGTCACTCCCCTTCGTCTACTTTCCTTTTAAAAGGGAGGGAAACTGAAATATTCTCTGCATAAACTTTTATATATTTTATTATGTCTGGACTTTAGGATTGTAGTTACGGAAAATGTTTAAAAAGTTTTTAGTAGTAACTGAAATATCCTTAGTATATTATATAATTAAACTTTATGTTAAGTTATTTGCCTTTTAAACAAATAGTAAATTAGCTGCAACTTGTAAAACTTGACTTCAAATACAGATTTTTTCAAATTTGTCTTTACTAACTTGAATATTCACTTGTTTGTTCGCGATTTACAGAATGATGACACCTGCCGGGTCAACGCCCTCAACGTAATAAGTATTTGACTCAACCTTGTATGATAAGTAAGACTCATAATTCTTAATTTATAATAATACCAATTAAATCAATAATAAATAAGAAAGAATGCCTAAACATATAATTGTATCGTGAGTGAAATAGTATATTTCAATTTTCCTTAAAATAATTCAATTATTTAAAAAATAAAACGTAGTACGCTGGCATATACTAAGTTTTTTTTTCTTAATTTACCGAAACAAAATACTACGACAAATGTTTAGGAAGCCATGTAATTAAAGAACTACATACGTCCTACACACAAGTTAGGCAGAAGTTTCTGGTTCCGGTGTAAAGTACTGGTACCTATAATTAATACATACCAGTTTCAAAAGTTAGTCAGCAGATAAAACGAAAAAGTTTCTTATTTGTTTTGTATAAAATTGTAAACTATTAGGTATATAATAATTAAATGTAGAACAATTACCATCTACTAGGTTGACAGAAAGTTGAATTGGCTGTATGTGTATAAATATAAAGATGTGAGTTAATTTATTGTCTGATCAATGGAGTATTTTAAAGAAAATTAGTAAAACGGGAAGGAAGTTTTTGTTTTCGCTTATCCAACTAACACCAACCGTTAACATTAGGGGAGAGTGTAACGGCTGACGGAACAACCACAGGTGTGTGCATGCTATCCAATATCCATATACAAAATCTACTATGTACTACATTGACACTATACGCACACTACAACAGGTTGCAGCCAGTCCCTTTTTCGTTGAGTGCACTTACCACAGACTAGCACTAATAGTTTGTTTACAAGGTGTATTAATAATTTATTAACTTAAATATATTTTAATACTGATAATAATTTCTTATAACATGTAATTTTATATAATGTAAGATTAACGTATTAATATTCAACAAAGAATTTAATTAATCGTAGTTTACGCCATCATAATTTATAATACCCTAGCGACTCACCCTCGCTTTGCTCGGGTTCGTCCCTAGCTTGTTACCCAATACAAACTTTCTACCCTATTTTCACCCCCTTAAGGGATGATTTCCGGGATAAAAATCCTTTGTCCTTCCCAGGGTCTCAAACTATTTTCTTACCAAATTTCATCTAAATCAGTTCAGTAGATCTAGAGATTACCCCCTACAACGTCACAAACTCACAAACTTTACCTCTTCATAATATTAGTATAGATAAACATATTAAATAATTATACAATTTTTCGATTAAACGATTGTGGAAGGTAATGTTTATGAAGTATTGAAAATATTTCTAATTAATTCCAATATAAGTCAATCCATATTTCATACGTTATAGAAGTATACTAATTTCTTCATATTACTGAATATTATACACTGTGGCATACGACACACAAGTTTGTCCGTTCGATAACACACAAACACATAGACGAGGTGCACTCATTGTTAAACATTTTGAAATTCTCGCTCGAAACCGGCCGTGGGAACCGCATTACTACTTCGTAGACAGAATCGATCTATATAAAAAACATATTTAATAATAATCCATAGTATATAATACATACACTATGTGATGTGGTAAAAGTTTATAAAATATAGGAATTGGATGTATTGCTGTAAAACTAAATTAAATGTGTTAAATTAAGTAATGATAAATTATAAAATATTTACATTTAATTCAGTTCAAGTATGCAAGCGATGACGATTCCTAGCTATTGGGTCATATTATAGAACGCCATACATAGCAATATTGCAAGTAGGTATGCACTATCAATACGTATAGTTACTACTTACGTTAAGTTCATTGACGGCGAATTGGCGCCGTTTTAGATATACAATTGATATAATTTATTGTAATTAAGTTATTTAATAGTATTTCGTTTTAATGCTAATCTGTATTTACATTAAAGAAACGCCTTAAAAGAAAACATAATCAAATTATTCGTCAGTAATTACTAAAATAACTTGTTAAATAATAATAATACAGATTCCATCCTTATCATACGTCGGCTCAATGAATGTGTGAGAAAGAGACAAAACAAGTAACATTTTCGTCCGTTACAAATATTTATACACCGCGTGTCTAGAAATGTGTTAATTTGAAATTAAATAGAAACACTTTATATCCCTATGTTATATTATCATTGTACGTAAATGGTATTATTTCTAAAAAGTTACATATCAGCCATAACACGTAATGATTTTAACAAGACTACGTAACAAAGTAGAATGATTTCCCGCCACTTTGACACCAATAATATAACAAGAGCACATTTTAAAAATCTATACTAAATATAAATATACGACGATTAAAGCCCAATTTTAGTAATATGTTATAAAACAAACATGCATTATGAATGAATGACATTAAAAAGAGCGGGACATGGGCCTGTTACTTTCTCATTGCCCGTAATATGACTTATACAAGATATAACTTATACATTCGTGTAAAATATAACTTACCGAATATTTATCCAAATAAATATCCTTATGCTCAATAGAATAATCCTGAATTTCACACATTTACGTTTTTAGCGTCATGAAATTGACAAATATAACACCACTCACTCCATAGACTATGTATTCTGTTTTGCTATTATGTGAAAAGGTACACAAAGAATGGCTCGAGTTTCTATTGGCGGGCTTATACCACGTGACTATCAGCAAGCAAATATTATTGGTTCAAAATGGCCTACACATTGACGTCACGCTTGTTTAGATACTTTTTTTCGATAAAAATAGGAATTGCAAATTTCAATATTACGTATATTATTTTATAAAAAAATATATGAATATTTGGGTATGTATTTTTTAAATTAAATTCAATTTTAATAAAGTCAGCTACAACTTACCAGTTATGGTGACTCGTCCATTTTCGACAACATGGCGGTTTGTTTACACCGGCATGATAAGGCGGGAAGTAATTTTATTGTTTAAGTGCAGAATTTCGTAAGAGTAACTAACCAAAAATAATCGTTTTTAAATAAAGAACTTGTTTATTAAAAGAAACATTTGGTTTGGTAATAAGTAACTAATTTAGAAAGGAAAACACGGCACATGGGCGATGTAAATTTTGATCACCAGCGCCATCTAGAATTAACTTTTATTCAGCTAAACAAGTAATGGCGGGAAACATAAACAATTCCTCCGGCTTTACAAATAACTTAAAATAATAACATAACACAAAGACATGCCAGCAAACAATTCCTAAATATTAACAATAAAAAATTCTTTATTTATTACAAAATAATGCTGTCAATTACATAAAACATCCAATTGTAACATTCAAATTGTTGTAAAAATGAATTTAACTATTTTTCAATAGTCCATTTTTCCAACCACAAGTATTCCTGAGATAAATCTCAATTTAAAATAAAACAAATAAGTATACATATGAAACATTGTTAAGTGTAATATTTTAAAAACAATCCTATTCATGATAAAAGCAAATTAGAAGATATGGTTAACAATGCAAGAAACTATGTCGCCTAATAGCATAATGAAACGCAACAAGAGCTTATCATGTAATATCACCATTTTCTAAACATAATAAATAATAACAGTCTTATAAAAAGCAATGAGTACAATTCCAATGTCAAGATGGCATAAATTGAGGCGGAATAGTTTTATGAATTATATAAAGGCACAAATGCTAGAACTTAGATATTTTAATGTTCCTATTTCTTTTATACAATTCATATGTTCCTTGTCTTTTGATTCTTTTGTTTATATATTCTTGTTTAAAGTTAGAGATGTTGCTCGTTTGAGCAATGAATTTGATTTCTTTAGGTATAACATTCACTTTGAAGTTAGTTGTGTAACCGCTACCAGATGTTAATGCTGTTGGCACAAACGGTAAAACTTTGGGTTTATGAAGGTGTTTCTTTAATTTTTTATTTTCAGATTCATCATCATTGAGATACACACTTTCTTCTAAATAATTTGATGGCTTATTTCTTCGTTTCCTAGTTTCTTCTACTACAAAGTCTGTTGTTGATATTACTTTAGCTTTCTTTGACACATGGATTTCCTTTTGGGGATTTTCATCCAATTGATTTAATATGCTTGGTGGTAATCGAGGAACTTTTTTGTCGAAAGAATTTTGTTTCAAAACCTAAAAAAGCAGTAAGCAATTAATAATAACATATTTGTGAAATGATATTTTTAATTAAAGTAACTATTAAATACCTTCGAAACTATATTTTCGTCGTCGTCCTCTCGTTGTTTACGTTTATTTCTATTTGCTTGTAAAATTTCTGTAAAACAAAATTTAAAATGAATATAACTTAGTAATGAATACAATAAATACTAAGTGTTTCAAATCTTGTTTTGTTAAATTTAATTTGATTATACCTATACCAGGATTCTCATTTTCAACATGGAGATTATCTGGTTTTTTCAATTTCTTTTGCTTTTTACCATCAGCGTACTTCGTTTCTTCTTGGTTATTTTCTATGGCTGCTAAATAAAACATAAATAAATATTATAAATATAACAAATTAAATATGGAATATATACAACATTATAAAATATTATTTAAGTTATCTTTTACCAAAAATGCCTTCCTCACTTTGTTGGGATATCTTTAATTTCTTCTTTTGACTACCAATCAGCGATTCATTCAATTTTGTAGGAACATTATTTTCGCCATCTAATAAAATATTTTAAATGATAAAAAAAATAATGATAAGCAATTAATATATTTAAGTATTCGTTTGAGATTAGTTTTATACCTTCACCAATTTCTTCAACAGTCATGTTGAGAGACCTTTTACGTTTCTTCGAGCTCGTTACTTGCATCTCAGGAATATCTAGCAACAAAATAAATGTATTTTTTTTATAAGAAAACAAAATAACCACATTTCACCCCAATTTTTTGTATGTTCATCTATACATGGGGCATTCCACATATTTACCAGGAAGCCTCTTTTGAGAGGTACTAAAAATACCAAAAAATTAAGAAAATCTAAACTGAAAACTTTTGAAACCGGTCCGATTTGGCGTGGAATGTCCGTGCTGTGCTGTGGAATGTTTTTGATATTTGATATGAGATTTCTAAAACCAACCTGGTTGCTCTTGAGATTCTTGTACTTTCTTCTTTTGACTGCCTGGCGTTTTTATTTTAGACACATTAAGCGATTCTGTAACAAAAATTAAAAAAAAAAAAAGATGTTAAAATTATCATACTAGGTCAACAAGTGAGCTCGATGCGATTTCCTATCGGTATTATAAACAGCAGTTTTAATATTTCTAACTTCAAAAATTATTAACTGTTTCCTCATTTGTACTCTTCTATTTCATTTAGGATTTCAAAAACCTCATTTAGTGGTAATATTCTTTATATAAGAGATTTAAGCAATATGAAATAATTATATACCTACTGGTTTAGTCTGTAATATTGTCTGTTAGTAAGTTTGAATAGATTTAAAATTTTAATTAAGTATTTTCAAATTTTTAAATTTTATTTCCATTAAAATTCTTTGTAATGTACCATATATAAAAAAAGGATTAATTAACATTAAATATTATAAAACTAAAAACAAGAAATTACCTTGTACATTCTCTTGAGACTTCTCTTTCTTTTTTTGACTACCTGGTGTCTTAATTTTGGACACATCTTCTATTAATGGTTCTAAAAAAATAAAAGTTTTAATGTATCTTTTTCATAATTAGCTAATATCATGTGGATAAATAGTATGTTCAGTAAATATTATTTTATATATTGCTTACATTAGAAGTATCAATGTTTGGATTATTCACCCAGAAGGATTTGTGACAACACTAACCAATAAATGCGAAATATTTGTAGATCAATTCATTTGTACTTATTACTTACTAGCAAAAACAAAAAGTTTAAAAAACAAAAACAAATTTATCTCACTGGAACCGTACATTATTTTGGGATAAAAAGTAACCCATGTGCTATTCCAGACTGTAATCTATCTCTGTGCCTTTCACCTAGATCCGTTCAGACTTTCTGGCGTGATTAAGTAACAAACATCCATCCAAACTTTGACATTTATAATACTTATTACAATGCAAAGGCTCAGATTTGGGTGAAATTCAGAATAGACATAGCTTATTACCTGCTCCTATTTTTAATGTAAAATTAAACTTATAAGTGAAGCTGTAAGTGAGAGAAAATACCTGTTTGGTCATTATCAATCGAGATTGAAGGCTGCTTCTTTTTCTTTACATTATTAGGCGTCTTATTTAGAGATGTGTTTATATCAACCTCTTCAATTCCATCTGGCAAAGTTAGAAAAAAATATTTATTGAGATTTGTTTTTTAGCTGAGGTATGTTTTATATTTTAAGGCATATGGCATGCATATTTTAATAGATATATGTACTAGCGACATACCCTCGCTTCGCTTGGGTGCGTTTTAATCTTTTTAAGCGGAACCCTAATTCTTTTTCTAAAATAAAAGTACCCTAAGTTATTCCTTATAACATCAGCTATCTGCGAGTAAAAGTCCCGTCAAAATCAGTCCAGCCATTTCGGAGATTAGCCGGAACAAACAGACAGACAAAAAATTTAAAAATTATGTTTTCTTATAAGTACCTTATATAATTTCATATGCATTTAATAAAGGCTGGTATTTAGACATTACAAAGAGAAACTTCAATTTTATTTATCTGTGCAGATTATGCCACTTGCAAATTATTGTTTTGCCAAAATAGTGAGATCTACAAACCGCTTTCACCATACTAAATATTTGTCTGAGCACATTTTTCTCCTTTGGTCAAGAACTTTGTCAAAGTGCAATGTTCAATTTTATTAAAGTTTTTTTATTTTTAAACAAATAATTTGATACATTTAATAAGTTCTCAATTATGAAAGTATCCTTTATACCTACCTATTCTTTCCTTTTATTCCAGGGCTATCTTAACCTATTCGTCGTATAACCAAATATCTTATATTAAAGCAGATAAAATAAATTACCATTTATTTCTTTTTGTGATACAGATGTGTGCTTCTTTTTCTTCTTCTGACTGACAGGAGTTTTGATCAATGATACATTATTGGCTTGTTCTTCTTGAAGATCTGTAATAAATAATTCTATTATTAATATAACATTGATATATTTTAAGTTGTTTTGAACTACAAACCTGAAATTTTATTTCCCAGTAAAAATTTGTGAGCTCATATGTGTTGGCTATATATTAATATCAAACAAAGGTAACTAATATATATATATATATATATATATATATATATATATATATATATATATAGCTATATAGCTCCAAGTTAAATCATGAAAACGATGCTGAACAAAATTTATAATTTAATATATACAGAATTGTTGTAATAAAGATTAAATCATAATTAATCGAACAATGATTTAAAATAAAAAAAACTTACGTCGCTGTATACTTAAATTTTTTGTCTTTGTTTTTAACTAATTTGAATGTTATATATATATATATATATATATATATATATATATATATATAAATATATAGAAATATACGGGTTTTGAAAGCATTTTTCTTACTCATAAAAATAGTTCCATCGTATCTTAAAAACATTTGTAAAAGATTCTTTGATTTTATAGTATATAGTATATTTACCTTTTTCATATAGCTCAATTTCTTTTGTTACATTTAAGGAACTCTTTTTCTTTTTATCACTTGAGGATTTGTTCAATGACGTATCAAGTGCACTATCAGGTTCTGGAATCAATTATAAACATATACATTTATTAACTTTCAACGATATGAAAATAACATAAATAACTTCATAACATAAAATCAGATGAGAATAAGTTAAAAAAATACCATTCATCTCTTTTTGAGACACAGATGTGCGTTTTTTCTTTTTCTGGCTGGCTGGAGTTTTGGTTAATGTAACATTCAAAGCTTGTTCTTCTTGAAGATCTAAATAGGCATAAAATAAATATTATGTATGAACAAATTATTATTATTATTTTTTACCTTTTATACTTTTAGAAAAAAAAACACTAACCTTCTTCATTTGGCTCAGTTTCTTGTACTTGACCTGTAGATATATTTTTCTTTTTAACACTTAATGAAGCATTCAATGATCTATCAGAAACATTTTCATCTTCTGTAAATTGAAAAAAAAATATATTATTAATACTTAAATTATTGATTAATTAAAAAATATATAGTATATAAATATTTAGTACCTGCTTGGTTTTCTACATGCGCTTTCTTAGCCTTCTTTTTCTTCTCACTGACAGGTGTATTATTGATAGATATGATGTTAGTAGCCAAATCTAAAAGCAAAATAATTTGTTAATGTCTATTACTATAAAAGTTTAAAGGTATGTAAAATAAATGATATTTTTTTATTGAAGATTTAAAGGGGTCATTCATTTATTTGGTTATTAAAGAAAAAATATTGAGTGAAATGTACAAAGTGTGATTTTGTTTACATATTTCATACAATATATTACAGTAAGTACACAAGTGAAATACAACCTTACATAGAAACACTTGATTATTTATTTCCCATGAAAATGGAGCAATGGTATGTGTTTTACGTTCTTTTTAAATACAGATTATGAAGAACCCAGAAAGTTTATTTTATAATTTTATCATTGTTTTCCTGACATTATATAGCAATATGAGAGCATTTATTCACAGGCAATTATTGAGAGATACATGTCTTCTGACAAATCTTCAGAAAGAGTCTATCCAAATTAATTTTAGGTCTTTTGGCATTCTACAAATAGTTCTTAGTCTTACAGTAGCTAAATTAGGTTTAGTGTCCACAGGTTTGTGCCAGCACATTTGGACATAACAAATGATAAGTATTTATATTAAAAAAAAAACAATATTTGACTAAAACATTAAACAGACCTGTTTGGTTTTCACTAACAGCTTCAGTTTTGTTTTTACGTTTTTCTTTTTTGAATGAAACTTCTGTCGGCGCCTCATCTGAATCATGGTCTAAAATTTAAATAGATTATTTATTAATGAAATAAATGTTATAATACTAATGTTTTTAGTAATTTAGTCTGTATTAGCGATAGTAACTCGTATCAAATATATCTATCTATACTAATATTATAAAGAGGTAAAGTTTGTGAGTTTGTGAGGTTGTAGGGGGTAATCTCTGGATCCACTGAACCAATTTACATGAAATTTGGTAAGAAGATAGATCGAGACCCTAGGTAGGACATAGGATACTTTTTATCTAGGAAATCATCCTTTTAGCGGGTGAAAATGGGGACGAAAGTTTGTGTGGGGAATTAACCTAGGGACGAACCCGAGCGAAGCGAGTATGAGTCGCTAGTGTTATTAATAAAGAAATGCAAACAAAATAATCAGGAGTTTTTTCAAATATTGTACTGTATCTTTTACTTTTTAAAATACCTTGTTGTTCTTCATTTACAAATGAAGCTTTTTTCTTATTCTTGGCAGGTGTTTTTGTCAATGACTTATTCATAGATTGGTTTGTGCCAAAATCTAAAAAGTCAAAAACATACAGTTAGATACAGAATCATTAAAAATACAATTTTTTTACATTATAATAAATATACATACCTGTTTCATCTTGATCAATTTGCAAGTCTTCATTTTCTTTTTGTGACAGGATTTGAGGGTCTGAAATATTAAAGAATAAATTATGTTTTGCTTAAAATAAAAATGACTGCATTTATATATATCTCTTCTAATATATAAAATTTCCATGTCACAATGTTAGTTACCGTACTCCTCCGAAACGGCTTTACCGATTTTTACCAAATTTTATATGCGTATTCAGTAGGTCTGAGAATCGGCTACTATCTATTTTCCATACCCCTAAGTGATAAGGGTGACCCACATTAGGGACGAACCCGAGCGGAGCGAGGGTGAGTCGCTAGTGCATTTATAAAAAAAGCAAGCACATTTAAGTTAAAAAATTTCCTAGCGACATTCTTTAAGATACTGTTTCTATAATATTTTTTCATAACTAATTACACAAAGTATAATATAATTTAATACGATAATCTTACCATTGTTTTGAGTAGAAAGTCGCTTTTTGTTCTCCAAACTGGTATTTATAGACTTATTCACAGATGTATGTGTACCTTCAGTGTCAACAAAGAAGCTGACTTTATCTTCTTCTGTGTCATCTAAAAAAGTACATTAAGTTTGGTTACTTAATTTACATTTTACAAATGCATATAACCAATCTATACAGATTAATAAGATTGACCATTGAAGTGTCTGCTTGTAATAATAATAAATGCATATGAAATTATATACCGTACTTATAGAAAAACTCAATTTTTAACATTTTTGTCTGTGTCTGTTTTTTCTGGCTAAACTCCGAAACGGATGGACAGATTTTGACGGGACTTTCACTGGCAGATAGTGGATGTTATAAGGACTAACTTAGGCTACTTTTACTTTAGAAAAAGAATTAGGGTTCTGCTTGAAAAAATTAATATAAATAAATTTAAATCTAATTCTTACTAATTTCAATTGGAGCACATTATAAAAAGCAAACTTATATCCCAAGCCTTAAATTTTATGTATTTTAAGGTTATTAAAATTAATATTATCAAATCTGACTTCAAAGTTTGAGAAAAAGGTTGTTTTTTAAAAAAACATCATATAAAATTAGTCACACATATTTTTTGTATGGTATATAAAAACTTAGATCATGATGTTAATATTTATACTAAAATTTACTTAAGTAATGTATTTTTATTTTCAATTTACACGGCAACAGAGCAAGATTATTTGGAGAGTGATTATGCTATTTTTATTCCACCTAGTGGCTTTCGTGGGATTTAAAAGTTATGCAAGGATGCCAATGCGAGTTAGGGCGGCGTTAATCTTACTATCCTAAACTAATATTATAAACGATTTATAAAAACTTAGTAATACATGAATGAACTAAGTGATGGATTTTTTTAATACGTCCATATTCCGTATTACAATATTATAAATGTGAAAGCTTGTGAGTATGGGTGTTTCTCACTCTTTCACGCCAGAACGGCTGAACGGATCTGAATGAAATTTGTCACAGAAATAGATTATAGTCTGGAATAACACATAGGCTACTTTTTATCCCGGAAAATTGTACGGTTCCCGTGGGATAGGTTTGATTTTGTTTTCCTAGAGGCGAACCCGAGCGAAGCGAGTGTGAGCCGGTAGTACACTTAAAAATGTATAAAATATTCGTCATAACAAAGTAATCATTAATATTTCTGTTATTTTAAATGACCTTAATTCAATTCCATTTTTAAAAGTAATGGATTGTTATAATAATAAAATAACTGTAGATAACAGTTTGTATGATCAAAAATGTAATTGTTATAGTTAATAACTAGCACCTCACCCTCGCCTCGCTCGGGTTCGCCCCTAGTGAAAAATAAAAACAAATCTACGCCACAGGAACCTATATGAATGCTATTCCAGTGTATAATCTATCACTGTGCCAAATTTCATCCAGATCTATTTAGCCGTTCTGGCGTGCGTGATTAAGTAACAAGCATCCATCCAAACAAACTTTCGGATTTATATAGTAGTATAAAATATAATTATATAATTGGATAGTTAATGGGATGATATATTAGTAACTTACTTGAATCTATATTGTTGTCATTCTTAGATTTACGTTTTTTCTTCTTTTTGAGGCTGACATTGAGTGACGTATTATTTACTTGATCGCTGGTATCTGAAAAATATAATTGAATTTGTATTGTGTTTTTAGATTTTTAGAGAATATTTATATATTGGAAAATTTGTTTGTTAGATGTATTTAAATTGTAACAAATAGTATCAATAGTGAATTGACTGTATTTTCTTACATAAATCAATATTCTGTTAATATATATTTGAGCAAAAATCAATAACTTACCAATATTTTCTCTAATGTCAGTCTTCCCATCTTTTCTTTCCAATGGAATAAATTCTTCTTGATTGTCATCTTTATTTCGTACATCATCACTTTGATTACTATCTTCAGAGAATAGCAAATGTAAATCAATAGAATCTGAGGACGCTCCATCATCTGTATTTTGTTCTTTAGATTTATCAGCTTCTTTTGTTTGTTTATTTTTATTTTTCTTAGAAGACTTCACTTGGGTAAGATTTAATTCTTCAACTATAGGTGCTTTTGGTTTCTTTATCTTCTTATTTAGGTTTAGAGATATGTCACAAGTTTTTGTTTTCACTTCATTATTCTTGCCCAGATCTTCGAGTACAGAATCGTAATTATTAATTATTTCAGTATCACTGCTTAAAGAGTCTTCCATAGACTCATCCAAAGGATCAATTTCCGTTTGAGTTTTTGTCAATTCATTGTTATCAACTTCATCATTATTAATTTCTTCTGAATCAATAAAAGCAACAGACATATTCCCTTTTTTAGGTGTTTCAGGTTCTTCTTTTATTTGAGTTTTTAATGGATCCACATCTTTTATGCTCTCATTGGCAATAGTTATTTCCTTTTCATTCATAGCACTTTCATCACATACACTTCTTGATAGGCGTTTAGTTTTATTGTTAGATTTTGTTTGCTCATCTTTATCTTCCAGCATACTGGTTTCGTTTGTAGAATCTAATCTCATTCTGTTATTCTTTTTCGGTTTTGGATCCGTTTCGATTTCGGATTCAGATGAACTTATTTGTTGTTTTTTCTTAGTTTTACTTGATGTGTTTAATTTATGCCTAGATTCGTACATTTCTTTGGATGCTTTCTTTTGCTCTTTGAGTTTACGTTCATTGTATTTTTTCTTTGATTTGGCTGACATTTTAAGTTCATTGTCGCTCATAGAAAGATCTCCTTCCGTACCATCCAACAATTCGTCATCTTCTTCAGCTGAACTCACAACAAACGAGTCTTTTTCGTAGTCGGTATCATCAGAAAAGTCATCTTCAGATGTGAATGTTTCTCCTTTTTCTAGAATTTCATTTTGTTTAGCATATTCTCTTTCATTCTCGTCTTGACTATCACCCGATTCATAATCATCGCCAGCATCATCTGCTTTATCATCTAAGAAGTTACTAGTATCTTGTGATTCATCATCAGACTCTACTTCGTCATCGGAATCCATTTCTCTAGATATAGCAGGCTTTTTCTTTGATGACTGCGAAGGTTTTCGTTTTTTTTTAATATTTAATGATTCATCAGCTGATTCTAAGCCAGTATCAGCATCCTTTTGTTTCTGTGACAAATTCTTCTTAGATATATTTAGGCTTTGATTCTTTGTGTTATTACTATTGTCATTTGATGTTATCTTTTCAACTTCCATTTCATCATCCGAGTCCATTATTTTTGAATAATTCTGTATTTTAGATTTTTTACGGATTTCTTTTATGTCTTTCTCATCTTCACTTGAGTCACTTTCATTCGAAGAGTTTTCACCTTTGTCTTCAATATCATCTTTGTTTTTGGAATTTACATTTTCAATTACATTTTTACTGTCCTCATTAGTTGAAATCATTGATGTATTAACATTAAGAGCCAATTTTTGTAAATTTTTTTGTTGCAAAGGGGTACTTGTAGTTACACAATTAAGTGAAATATTTCTTTTATTGACTTCATGTTCCTGAGTAACATTTAAATCTTCTACAGTTTTGGACAAAATAGTGGCTTTCATTTGAGGAGATTTTACTGCATTATTTAATTCACTAGATGAAGTATCTTTTATTTGCGATAGTATAAGAGTACTTTTATTTTCATTGTCACTTTTCTCTAAGTTATTAGAAATGGAAGATTTTCTTTTTGATTTGTTTAAAATTTCTTTATTTGATAAACTATTTTCTAGCTGTGAAAATTGTGAAATTAAATTTCTTTTAGATGAATTATTCTCATTTTTCTGCATTTCAACTAGAAGGCTATCTGGCATAGATTCGTCAACATCCATTGGTTCACAACTGTCATTTAGACTTGATTTGTTTATAATACTTTGATTTTTTGATATTAAATTTAATTCTACTTCTTTTTCTGTCCGAACTGGATGTTCAACCACTGGTACACATTGATCTTCATTTTGACATTTATTTTGAATATCCTTTTCAAGATTGGAATCAGAATCATTATCAATTAATACTAAAGTTCGCAAGTCGCTACTTGGTTCTTTCTTAAATAGTTCAAAAATATTACTGTTTTGTTCAGTGACGTCTTGGTTAGCTGATAGTGAATCATCTTTATTTTCTTCTTTTTGAGATTTATTCTTGCTTTTGTTAAGTGATGTATCAATATCTTCAACTATAAAGTTGTTGCTATCATTCTTTTTTCTTCTAGAAAATGATTTATCTTGAATACTTGTATTTATCGAAGCATCTCCTGCACCACTTTTATTTAATTGTATAAGATCTTTAACATTTTTAGTTATTTTCTTTTTAGTATTTTCATTATCACTGAAAAAGTTACTTTCATTTGCTACAGTCAAAGTTGTCCATGATTTAGTTCTTTTTCTTTTTGTCGTTTCCTGTTTACTTTCTATGGCTGATGTTGTTTTGTTCAAGTTGTCTGTTTTGATTTTGGGCACTATTACATGTAAATCTTTTATTAAATCAGAACTAGATATTGAAAGCCTGTCTGTTTCTTTATTGTCTTTTGATGATACTTGCGTTTCAGCTGTAGCTTCTGTTTCTTGAGATGTTGGAAGTGAAGAATCAATTGACTTTCTAGATGGTATGCTTTCTGATTGTTCACTTGTATTATCACTTGGTTGGTCATTTTCTTTTGCCTTCTTTTTGGAGGGAGTTTTATTCTTTGCCTCAAGTCTTGGGCTTTTACGGACACTGCTAGTTGAAGAATTGTCATTGTCCTCAGCATTGCTAGCTAATTTTCGTTCATTACTTTCTGGTTCCTCTACAATTACTTGTGTTATTTGAATAGATGGTTTAGAAGTTGATGGTAATTCAGCTGTAATATTAAAAGAAAATATATTTATATTTAACCATTAATATGGTACTATCTTAACTAAATATTTGAATCAAGGACACTTTTGCCCGATTTCACCAACAACCCATAAGCTACCACCTATGTATGTGATCCCTAGCTTAAAATTCCCCTAAGTTAGCCCCTAAATTAAATTTCGTTTTACCATCGTCTTTAAGCCCATATTTCGAGCACCTAAATTTAGGGGGCCTTTTAACATTTAGGTGACCCCTAACTGTCGGTGAAACAGAAACTGTCCTCTAACAGCCCCCTAACCATGCTTAGGGGATCGCTTAAACTGAGGTGATGTTGGTGAAATCGGGCATTTAAATGTTAATTAATACCTTTTTCCACACTAGTGGCAGAATCTTTTCTTGTTCTTCTTGTTTGTCTAATAGGTGTAACTGTAGCTTCAGAGTCACTTCCTGAAATAAATACAAGCTGTTTCATTAAATTATCATTCATATATATCATATAAAACAAAAAGTAATTCAATACAAATATAACAAAATGTTATTTTATTATATTATATTAAGAGTTTTCTATATAAATTTTATTTATATTTAAATTTCAATAAATAAATAAATATATAACATTCTCTTTTGATTATTGTAAATTGTTTCAGGAATTTATATTGGAATCAATCTAAACTAATATTATAAAGAGGTAAAGTTTGTGACTTTGTGAAGTTGTAGGGGGTAATCTCTGGATTTACTGAACCAATTTAGATGAAATTTGTTAAGAAGATAGTTTAAGAACCTGGGAAGGATATAGTATACTATTTATCCCAGAAATCATCCCTTAAGGGAATGAAAATGGGGATAAAAGTATGTATGGGGAATCAACCTAACCGAAGGGACTGAACCAGTCGCTGAGTCGCTAGTAATATAGAAACTATTATTATTAATCATGAATAAATAACTTTCACTTTTTATAAATAAAAAGTATATATTTGATAATAACAAATTGTTTATAAATTTTTTAAGGGTATAATTAATAGGAAAGTTTAGATCTTTTGATATGCATACCTACTGCAGATGTCCTTCGTGCAGCCCTTTTAGCCCTAGGTGAATCAACCATTATTGCTGTTTCTGAAACAATACTTGTGTTAGATTTAATTCTGGTACTACGCCTTGACGGGGTTACAGGTTTCTCTTCAATAGCATCTTTTATTTCCTTTGCTGAAGCTTTCTTTGTTTTTCTTGTTGTATTATTTGGACCTGAAAATAAAAAAAATATTAAGATTATTAAAAACAGGATGACGAACTTTAAAACATCATATATATTAATTATTCTTTTCAATTGACAATAAAAGTTTTGAACAAAAATAGATTATAACTTATAAGCTAACTGAAAACTTGGGCATTAAAAATATTATTTTTTAAAAATACAGAAAAGATATTAACTATTTTCATCAATAAGTTCCAACTCAGGCTTCGCCCTTCTTCCACCTCTTTTCTTAGTAGGAGTATTAAGTGCAGGTGATTTACTCTCCTCAGATTGCTCAACAGATATTCTTTGTCTCCGACGAGTAACTGGAGCTGGAATAAAAGTTTATTTAAATTAGGGAATTAAACAAAGTAACACATTTTTCAATTCTGCATATATTTATTATTAAGTAATGATATAACATATGATTAAATAAAAAAGACTTTATGAATATTTTATAAAATAGAAGAAAATCAATTAGATAACAAAAAGATTTGAAAAAAGAAAATTCTAATATTAACAAACAGTAAGATCTTCTTTTTAACAAGAATACAATAGGCAAACATCATATAATAATTATCTAACAATAAAATTGTTTGAAGGCATGAGGTATACCGGACGAATGTTTGATAATGCGCAATGCTAAGAATCTCTAGATTTTTCTAAAAAATCATGAAGTATTAAGTACGAACCTTTGACGCCTGCGTCTTCTTCCATAGTTGAATCAAATATTGATAATACAAAGAGCCAACTTTTTATAAATTGCGCAAACACGTGTAATACACCGACAAATTCAAAATCGTATTTGAGGTTGAGTTAATGGTCGAACAGCTGTTGAGACGCCGCAAACTGTCAATTTAAAACCGACGCGTGCTAAAGAATGGCAACTTTACCCATTTCCGCCACTATATCATAGACAATAAAAATGAATCTTAGTCTGTATGTATACTATCAAGAATAGCCTGATTCGTGCCCAGATAAATGCCCAGCAGTGGAACGTTAAAAAGAGCTGAATACACAAGAAAAGATATTTCTTTTAACATAGGTAAATATCCAAGTACTTTAGTGTTTATTTAAAAAATAATTGACATGATTTAATTAAGCTCTTTATTGACTGGACTTCAGGGTCTTTTTTGAGAAATTATTGGAATTTAGACGTCATAATATAGATATCTCATCTACTTTATTGCCTCTATCTCTCTTCTTTATGCTTAATATATATTGGCGAATTAAATCACCTACTTGCACATCTAAAAGCCAAATCAAAGAATGGAATTGAATTCTATGAACTAAAAGAATACGTTTTCATATATATGTCGTTATTGGTATAAAATTATTGTCGATTATCAAGTAATATTTATTACTGACTAGCATTGCCCGTGGCTCCGCCCGCGTTCAGATGACTAAAAACCAAATTCTTAGGTTTTACATACAGACAAAAATTCTAAAAACTATAGTTTCGGACTCTGTATCGATAATAATGTCTATTTCAATTAGATTTTCCAAAAAATATTTAATGTACAGATTCGACTTAGTTACAATTTTATTATATGTATAGATTTAATAGCATATTCAAAAAACACCCCTCAAAAATTACCTATAACTATCGTTTGATATCAATGATAATAATAATCAAATAAGAATAAGAAAATAAAAATAAGTTTTGCTGAATTATTTTTGCTTTCATCAGTAATTGAGAAGAATAGTTGAATCAATAGTCCACGTTAGGGTTAAGTGGGTCTGCACTTAAAAGGACATCAAGGGTACAGAAATAGCATTATACCCTCAGAATTACCCTAACAATATTTGATCCGTCTCGTTTAGTTTTATAGATATGAATCCCTTGAAATAATAGGTCAAGTTATTAAGGGTAGGTAATGTAGTTTCTACCTTTGATTTATAAAATAAATTACCAACCAATTTTATCGCATATTTTTGTTTGAGTAAAAACTCACTAGTTAGCTACAATATATTCTATCTTCTATCTAATGAATGTTAGTATATTTGTTCCCTTTGTCCCTTAACCATTGATCCGATTGTGATGAAACTCTAGTGGGTTATCTGTATTCGTCTGCGAAGATTCTTGAAGCAACAAAATAGAATTTTTTGGACGTTTGTCTTTTATGCGTTCCTAGACCTTTCAAGCTTATGGACGCATCGGAGCAAAGCGACGGTAAGCTGATAGTTTATTATGAAGGTAAATCTTGAAGTTTAAAATACATACTCATAAAAATATGGCGTTCATAAGCCTTAAGTTTTAGTATTACAGTATTTTAAAGATGTAAAAGTTTTTTTTTTGGACAATCAGAGATCACAATACTAGTAGTATACAACATAATTTCATGAGTTGCATTTATTTAAAACTACCCTTTTTATTAATGTATGAAGGTTAGTAGGTATATAATAAAATGGTAGTTTTTAATACCTGCAGGTAAATTTCTATGAAATTAATTAAATTTCTAAGAAATCTATTATTAACTGTAACGCCGGCGTGTCCGCGGTCCTTGAGGGAATATGAAAATCTGCAAAAGCTGTAACAAAGAATTATTGTTTTAATTTAAAAATGTGTTTAAATTTTATTTACTATTTATTTACTTACATATTCATATAGATACTGTTACTTTGTTATACGAGTCGAGAGATTAATGAATAGGAATTGTAGGTCACAAATGAAGCTCTTCCGTACTTGTAAGTCGCAAGTGAATACTTCATAAGGAACATTATGATTTATACTAAAAGCATGCTAACGAGATGCCTGCGCGAAGAACTATGGTGTTTATGGCATTAGAGAGTTATATAAAAGTTCTCGTTATGTAATCAATTTAAAAAAATGGAGAGGTCAATTTTTACCTGTCGATTCAATTTTATTAATTAAAAAGTATATACTCATATATACTGAATCGTAATGAATGAAGTGTATAATCTTGCATTTAATCTACAGTTGGTACCTTATTATTACTATTTCTACATAACATATTTACTTGTATATAAGTCATTTGTAGATAAAGCCAACCTAACTAACGTCGTTTAATTCTCTTAATTACGAGTACCATAGAGGTACTAAGCATTCCTTGCGTTCTAAATTCCTGAAGGTGAACTAATGAGGTATGAATTCAAGAGACTTTCGGTCAGCCGTATACAACTAGTTGACTACGAGTCTCTCAAACTTTCAATAAGTCGGATTTCAGCATCAAGTTTTATGTATAGAGTTGGAAACTTTGCAACTACCTCCTTATAAGTTCAACATGTCACAAATATCGAAGAAAATTCAATTACAGCTATCTTTTAAAAATTCTTTAGAAAATACGGCATGCAAAGTTTTCCGCGTTATTAGGTATTGCTACGACTTTGGAGGTGATGCGAGATAAAATAAAGACGATATTAAATTTTTCATTACTATAGTGGTCGTCTATTACTTTTATAGGTATATAAGTAATAACATAAACTATAGTTATTAAAAATAATTTCTTAGATTTTTTACGCAAATATTTGACGTTTGAACTAAAACTAAAATAAAATGAAAATATTTGTTTTAAATAGATCGCATAGCATTACAATATTAATTAATTTTTTATTTAATTAAATTGATTAATATATTGTCTTATATGATTTTGTCTTCAAAAACTATGAAGTGCAAGGTCTTTGATACTTTAGTGAATTTTAAAATTCAAAAATAAGAAGCATAGAAAAATGCACTGAAACAGTTGTTCAACGTGCATGAAAATTTACTTGCACACATACAATTTTCAATGCGGTTGCTGACCTTTGTTCGAAATTAGTGTTAACTTTTATCTACAGTTTTTATTTCTTGTGTATTGTAATTTTGCGTAGGCTTCTATCCCATTACATTTGTTAACCTAAAAAGAAAAAAGATATTAGCATAATGAGGGCTTCCTATAAACGTTTTATTTCTTTTATGTACTTTTTAACTTTTTGAAACCGTTGTCCTTAGGGCAACTCTTAAGAGAATTACCAAGGAACGGAAGATATAAAAAGAAAGACGACATAATCTTAAATATATATAATTAAATTATATTAAAAAAAACTTGTCTTTCGCAAATAATAAATTCAAATATAAATGTTTTTACACGTTATAAAAATAATCTACTGTAAATCTGGGTAAAGGAAACCGAATTTGAGATTAGCTTTTCTAGTCCCGTCGCAAAGCAAATTGCAGGCTTTTAAACTTTGAAGCAGCTTGGAAGAAGCAATAATCGACGAAACATTACTGTTTGGAAGTTCAATATGTGGGCACAAAGCAATCCATATCCAACGAGGGCAGGTACTTACCTATACATCTATATTTATTTATAGATGATATATACAGATATTTTTTTCAATTATATAGTAGGTATGTAACTAGAAACTTTTTGCAGAAAATACTTTAATCTTCTTATCCGTTTCAGGGCAACGTTGCGCTTCTGTAGTTTAACACCTCCAGGTAAATTTCTAAGAAATTAATTAAATTTCTAAGAAATCTATTGTTTACTGTAACGCTGGCGTATCCGCTTTCGTTGAGGGATTAATATTTCTCCGATACCTACAAAGAGAGCTAGAAAAAAAAGTTTCAAATACTTGATTTTGAAAAATTGCAATGAATAAAAGAATTCATTTAATAATTTTAAACGAGACTAATGGCTAACATTTACTTGCTATCAGTAATTTTAAAGTTTAAATAGAGGAGAAATTAACTTCCGCTTAAATCATTCAAAGAGCGACTTACCATGGCTTCGCACGGGTCAGTTCCTAGGTACGTTTTAATTTTTTTGAGCGGACTTCCTATTCTTTTTCTAAAATAAAAGTAGCACTAAGTTAATCCTCATAACATCAGCTATCTACCAGGGAAAGTCCCGTCAAAATAAATCCAACCGTTCTGGAGATTAGCTGGAACAAATAGACAGACAGACATTTTTTTTTAGTACTGTATATACTTTCATATACATTGAGTAAAAAGCTGTTATTTTGACATTATAATATATAGACACTTCAATTTTATTTATCTGTATAAATTTCTTTTCCAAATCACATTTCGCACGTTAATATTATTATCATATATTATTATAATTTACTAAAAGAGTTTCCTTCGCACAGATATATACCTATTATATTTCTCAAAGTTCTCTCATTAACAATACCCGCAACTTTTGAGGTCCTTTCTCTCACCTTACATCTTGTACGTTGGCATCCCGCCAACTCGCTTTGTAACTCTATTGTGGATCAACTGCATCAAGCACCACACCTATTGGCTTACTCCTGTATAAACAAAGTATCTGCAAACTTGGCCAATTCTTTGGTTACGTCAATATAAGTTTTTTTTAATAATGGCTTATAGATAAGATTTTTCAGGCATTAAATAAATAATTATTAGACATTCAATACTTATTCACATTTAAAATAAAAAGCGGATGAATTAGTTAATGCTTTGTGTGTTTTAAATTGTTTTCTTTAGATAAACCTATTCAAATAATTTTGTTTGGACCTAGCTACTAGAAAAGTGTCTAATATTATAGAATACTAGCAATGCCCGCCGCTCCGCCCGCGTTCAGATGACCAAAAACCAAATTATTAGGTTTTACATAGTATGATACTCTTACAATACAGTTTTTGTATTTTTTTCTCGTAAATGATATATTTTCCCCTCGGTAAAAAATATCCTATATGTTGACCTGGATAACCAGCTATCACCATACCAAATTTCATCAAAATCCCTCTAGTGA